CGGAGGAGGCGGATGATGCTAATTTCGAGAGTGCATCTGCCTGGTTGTTTTCTGATCTCGGTACTTGGATCAGATGGAAATCCTCAAGGGAGCCGACTGCTTGTCGGACCGCCTGTAAATATTTGATCATGGCCGGATGTGTTGCTTCGTATTCGCCATTGTACTGACTCACTATCAGTTGTGAATCAGAACAGGCGTCTATTTTCCTTGCCCCGGCCGCCTTACACATGCGGATCCCGGCTAGTAAAGCTTCATATTCTGCCTCATTGTTTGAAGCCTGGAAACTGAAGCGTAGAGCATACTCGAACCTGTCGCCCTCTGGAGATTGACATACGACGCCTGCTCCACAACCGTTTGAAGTAGAGCTTCCGTCCACATATACCTTCCAGACTTGGTCTGGAACTTGAGAGTCAGGAGGACGAGTCATCTCTACAATAAAGTCAGCAAAGGCTTGCCCCTTCACTGCTTTTCTAGGCTCGAAAGTAACTTCGAGACTCTGCATTTCTATGGCCCATTTGATCATTCGTCCGGAGGACTCCATGGTGGTAAGGGGCCGCTTGATCGGTTGGTCGGTATACACGACGACTGTATGTGCCAGAAAGTAGGGCTTCAATTTTTTAACAGCCATGAAGAGTGCAAGACCAAATTTCTCCACTAGGGGATACCTCAACTCGGCATTTTTCAGTACGTGACTGACAAAGTAGACCGGAAGTTGACAGCCGTCCCTTTCAGCAAGGAGCACCGCGCTTAACGCATGATCAGAGACGGCCAGGTACATGTAGAGATTTTCTTTGGGCAAAGGGCTGACCAGCCTTGGCAAGGAATGCAAGTGAACCTTTAATTTCTGGAAGGCGGCCTCAGCATCCGGCCCCCATTCAAACCTTGCCTTTTTCTTAATTGCCTGGAAAAAGTATAGGCATTTGTCGCCTGATCGGCTTAGAAATCTTCCCAAGGCCGCCAGACAACCTGTTAACTTCTGAACCTCTCGGACGGTACGGGGCGACTGCATGTCAATGACCGCCTGTACCTTCTCAGGGTTCGCCTCTATTCCTCTCTGGTTGATAAGGAATCCGAGAAATTTCCCAGACTCAACTCCAAATACACATTTCTTGGGATTGAGCATGACATGGTGCCGCCTGAGTGTGGCGAAAGTTTCTCGGAGGTCCGTCAGATGATCTTTCTGAAGTTTAGTCTTAACAATCATATCATCAATGTATGCCTCGACGTTTCTCCCAATCTGATCAAAGAACACTGTGTTTATCATTCGTTGGAATGTAGCCGGGGCATTCTTAAGACCAAACGGCATGACCGTATAACAGTATAATCCCTGATCAGTGACGAAGGCCGTCTTCTCCTGATCTTTCTTCCACAAAGGAATTTGATGAAAACCAGAATAGGCGTCCATAAAACTCATCAAGGCATGGCCGGCTGTTGAGTCGACCAGGTTATCAATTTTTGGCAGAGGGTAACTGTCTTTGGGGCACGCCTTGTTCAAGTCTGTGTAGTCTACACACATTCGCCAGGTGCCATTCGGCTTTTTAACAAGTACCACATTTGCAACCCAATCTGGGAAGTAACATTGCCGAATGAACCCTGCATCAAGTAATTTTTTGACTTCGGCGGCGGCCGCCTGACCTCTTTCTTCACCATGGTTCCGCTTCTTTTGCCGTACCGGCTTCTTTTTCGGATCCACAGCGAGTTTGTGTACTGCCAGATCAGGACTAATGCCTGGCATTTCATGGACTTCAAATGCAAAGATGTCCTTATATTCTTTCAACAGGTTGTGAAAGTCATCACCAAGGTTTCTCAGAGCAGTCGTCCCAACTTTGACTGTTCGGTCAGGGCGGGAGTCGTCTAATATCAGGTCCGTATGCTCACCAGCCGGCTGAGGGCGGAACTCATCCGGCCGGTCCTCTGCCAATGATTGCTATTTTCTTGCCTTTCTGGCGGACTCTGTTTGGGACGCCTTTCTTTTTCTGTCGCTTGTTTCTTGAACAGGCGCACTTTCCTTGACATTGTCAAGGTCTGTTTTTTCTCCACTTGAGCCAGTGGCCTTAGCAGTGGGTTTGACATCCGAGAGATAGCACTCTCGGGCCATCCTCTGATCTCCCCTTAGGGAGCCGACTGTTCCATTGTCCCTTTCAAACTTAAGCAGCATAAGTGACGGGATTATAACAGCCTTGGCACTATTCAGGGTTGGGCGACCCAGAATCATGTTGTAGGCAGAGAGTTCCTCTACAACTAGGAATCGGACTACCATGTGTCGTCCTTCCCCTTTTTCGCCCAGGCGGACGGGTAGATCAACTCGTCCCAGTGGGTGGACGACTCCTCCTCCAAACCCTATTAAAGGGTGGGAGGCCGGATGTATGCAGTCCGTCTGATATTTCAGTTTTGACAGACATTTGCTGCTGATGAGATCTGAAGAGCTCCCAGTATCTATGAGGATTCGACCAACTCTCTGGTTGGCCACTTTACATTCAATAACGAGAGGGTCGTCATGCGGCCTCCTTATTCCTCCTAGATCCTCTTCAGTGATGACAATCTCAGGAAATGTATATTTGGACGGTCGTTCTTGGTGAACGGAATTTACATCTAACCGCCTTATATTATCTTTGTTGCCCCTAATAGTGGGGCCGCCTCCTGAGAAGCCGCCTGCAATGGTGTAGACGACTGCATCATCTGTATCGGAACTGTCGGCCTGTTGATTCTTTTTGGCCGACTGCTTTTTTAAGGAAGTATTCCCCGTAGATTTCTTGACATAAGTGTCAAGATCACCTTGATCAGCCAAGCGGTCTAGGTACCGCATGAGACTAATGCAGTCGTTGGTGTGATGACCAATGTCATCATGATAAGCACAGATTTTGTCTTGGTTCCGGTTGCTCGCAGAACCCTTCATGGGGAGCGGTTTCTCAATTGAGAGCCGTCCCTTTATTTCTTTTAGGATAAACTGGTTATCCTTGTTAAACACATACTTTGGGGAGTATGGTTTGAATTCCTTTTTCTTCTTGGCCGGCTGTTTAGAGGAATCAGCCGCCCAGACCCCTTTTCTTTTTTCATCTTTGTTGGACGACTGTTTCTGTCGTCCTTCTCTATTGTCGAACCTCTTCCCGTCCGACTGTTTCATTGTACACAGATCAGTCGCCTGTATATAGGCTTCTGCTTCAATCAAGGCCTCTTGAAGAGTCGCCACCCTTTTTCGAACTAAATCAAATTTGAAGGTAGACCCGTCTTTGAGACCTCTAAAAAAGTCAGTATAAGCTACCTCATCCGGTAACCCTTGAATCTGTATTCTCATCAGGTTGAACCGCCTGATGTAGGAACGAAGCCCCTCCTTTTCACCCTGCTGAATTGTTCCCAAATCAAGGGTCGTTTTCTTCGCAGGGATGTTTATTGCAAAGTTGGAGGCAAATAAGTAAGCAAGCGTCCTGAAACTGTTTACACAACCAGTCGGCAGGTTGCCGAACCATTGCTGTGCAATTCCCTTGAGAGTTGCTGGGAAACACTTGCACCAAGTGGGATCATCCAACCCTTGAAGGTACATCAGGTTGGTGAATGCCATCAGATGGTCTTCCGGGTTAGTAGTGCCATCATAGGCGCCTACTAAAACATTTTTTACTTTGGCCGGCTGAGCGGCTTCAGTAATTTCCTTGGAGAAGGCCGACGGCTGTTCACCAAGTCTAAGCAGCCGTAGCTGCCAGTCCATAGGTTGGACGTTTTTTGCTGCAGGTCCACCAAATGGAGGTGGCTGCATAAAATATTGTTGTTGCGGCACAAATGGCAAATTTGGTACCGCCTGCGCACTATGAAAGCCAGACTGTCGGGAGGTGCCGCCTGACTGACTCTCATGGTACGACTGAGTTGGCCTCATCGAGGCATTTCGCAAACTGTCCTGAAAATTTGAAGTAGAAGCCGACTCTGATAATCGGTCACTCCTCTTCTGCTCTAGCAGGTGCCGAGCATCTGTGAACGTTTGCTTTGACCCGTCCGCCTGAATATGACGAACCGGTTTCCTATTTCCCGTAGGATAACGGAGTTTTGTGAAATCAAGAGCAGACGGCTCCCGCTTCTTAGATTTAGGATGGGGAGTCGCCTCTCGCCCTTGAACTGGCTTCCTCTTCAGTGAAGTGGAAGGTTTTTTGGCCGCCTGCTCTTTGACTGAAGCAGGCGGTTTTTTGTTGATCAACTCTTGGATCTCTCCCTTGAATCCCCTCATGAAGGTCATGAGTTCGTTCCTTGTGATCGGAGCAGACCCATCAGTCGGCTGTTGCCGAGCAAGCGGTGCGCCTGCTGGCTCGCTTCCTGTTTGAAGATACTCCCGTTCCCTTATTTCAGTATGACGGGTACGGCGGGCCCTTAGGGTCCCGTCTGGAGCTGTATGAGTTTCAACTTCAAATTCACTTTCGGTATCATGGTCCGACTGAACTTGAGGGTCGTCTAGGGGACGCCTCTCTTCTGGGGTCGGTACAGACTTGGATGCCATCTCTGAAGTACTCTCCCCACAGACGGCGCCAAATGTTTCGGGGTTTTCTGATGTCCTGCGGGAGAGTTACAATTCCGAGACTGGAACCGGACGCCTGTACCTGCAAAATAACGGAGACTCCTGAGAGCTCCGCCTCCAACGGTCAAGTTAGTACCTGATTAAGGAGTAATTAATACAGAAATTAAAGTAATAAGGTCTCTCTAGGTGAGAGTATTTAATGTAGGTAATCTGCTTTGCTAGCGAGATCAGCCGGTTATTAGTGTGTTCCGTAAATTCTTCGGTCCCTGATTAATGAGGATTAATCGAGTATTTATAGCCTTGGGAAGCGTGCAACTCTCTAGGTTTAAGGTAAACCTAGGGCCGATCGGGCTTCTAGACTGAAATGGGCCTTGATGGCCGGTTGTCCCATTTGGCATGGGTGGACACGTGGCGTGTCTTAAGTGGTCCGTGGAGGACGCGTGGCGGAACCTGGTTGGTCCACTTGTCAAACGGCGCTTGGTGGATAAAAATCCCCTAATCACACCCTATTTATGCCAGAAGGAGGGCCTTATTCTTCAGTGTCCTCGGGTAAGCTTTATGTAGGATCTCGATATGATGTAGCTTCCTTCACTTTGCTTTCCTTTTCTCTTTTCTACTACGTCTGGCTGATTGTTATATGTGATTTCTGTTCGAGATACAGGTCAAAGAGGCGCCTTCACTATGGGAGAATCCGTTGTCAGCCACTACGTCTTGGAAACCCTGTGCAGAGCGTCGTAGTAGTGGCATATCAGGTTATTCACTAGAAAATTGTTAAGAATTTTTCTGCTTGTTGAGCTTGTAAATTTTGATATGATATTGAAATTTTGAAGTCCTTTCACTATGTTAAGTGTGTCAAATCATGTACAAGTATTTGCATTTGCTTTTGAAGTTTATGTTTGTTGGTTTGATTTTATACTAGTGACTATTCTAAGGAATCCCCATGCGACTTCATATTTTAGGTGCAATTTTTTTTTTCTTCCATGCACTGGTGGCTATTTTAGAACTAAACCTACATGAGAACATTTTACATGCCAAATCTGATGTGGGATTAATCCGCTTTGTTAAAACTGACTGTTCAATTTATCTTGCAATAGATTAATTCTCCAAGTTCAATTCCATTCCAACCTAATATTTATGTTGATGCTCACAGATCCTCCTGCAGAGAATGAAACAAATGGATATATATTTATACACGCGGAAGGTGGTCTTAATCAGCAAAGGATTGCCGTATGGTCCTTATTCATCTCTCACATATTGTTTTGAATGTCTTTTGTGTGATTAAGTCTCTGTTCAGTGCCATCTAAACTCTCTTGGATTGTGTATCTGAGTTGTTCAACGGAGAAATGAATCATGCAATAAGAAATAGGGTAAACTAAGAATAGGATATTCTTGTTTATAACTACTGTATGCCATTATTAGATCTTGAATATCTAGTTCCATATGACAATCCTGCATGGGATACGTTTTTCATAGCTGATAGATTATTCCTTTACTTTGATATCTGCATTTTTCATCTACTTTCACGTATGTGTTGTCTACTATTATAGTATTATGTAAAGTTTCTCAGAATATCTGAACTGTTGTAATCTATTGCTAAATAGAAACTTATTTGAAATGTATTGGTTACTGTGTAGATATGCAATGCAGTGGGCGTGGCCAAAATATTAAATGCTACCCTTATACTGCCAGTGTTGAAGCAGGACCAGATCTGGAAAGACCAAACGTGAGACAACTTATTCATATTTTTGCTTTTTGAGGCTTTGTAGATTGAGCTTCTGCTTTAAAAAGGCTGATTGTGTCATTATATCCTAATTGTTCTCCTTTCTGCTGTAACTGCTGTTCAAAAACCTTTGTTATTTAATATCTCCAAATTAGTGTCAAATTGAATTTCTGGTAAGCTTAGTAAGAGATGGTGAAGTGCACCCCTGTATATTTTCAGCCTCTGTGTAGCTTGTTCTGTACAGTCCAAAGACTTTTTGAGAGTTGCTTGGTGCTATCCTTTTGGGTTTTTTTTTTCCCTTCTTTTCTATTCTCTAATTGATAATTTGCTTTCACAAGGTATATATAATTTCCAATTTGTATTCTGCAGGAAATTTGAAGACATTTTTGATGTTGATCATTTCATTGACTATTTAAAGGATGATGTGCCCATTATTCGTGACATTCCAGAGTGGTTTACAGACAAATCGGAGTTATTTACAAGCATCAGGTTTGCTGTTTTTTTTCCTCTTCTCGTGTAACTTACTTTAAGTTGATTTTCCTTTTTACTTGTCCAAAAACTGAGCCTTTATATCAGTAGCTTGTCCAGAATTTAAGTTAGAATGTGTAGCTTGATTTTCAGGAAGTATTTTTCTCTATGTCCTCTGAAAATGAACAATTCTATGTCCTCTGAAAGTGCTATTCTTTAGCCTCTACCTCAAATGCTTTAAATCAGGGCTTTAAGGGAGCTATTGTCATGTGGTGTAGGGTTCAGTAATCAACATTTAATTAATAAGCACAGCGTGATTGTCGGTGAGAAACAGTTTCTAATCTTTCCTGGCCAGGAGCAGGTTCCTGATTACGTGTTAGACAGATTTATTCCAGAATCCAGCCTTTCGGATTTTGGTCGTATGACAATAAATTTCAACATAATTGGCTTGTCTCTGATTTTGCATTATTCTTTGGAGTTTAACAAATTTAGAAGTTAGAACTATGAGGGGAGATCACAGAATTTGAAACAACAGCATGTACGCCTTTACTTATACTTGCTTTCCTGTCACTTGTTTTAAGAAAACCAAGCATGAAGCAAGGTTGTTTTGTGTGTGTGTGGGGGGTGGGTGGGTGGGTGGCTGGGAGAGAGAGGGGGGGAGGGGTTTAAGTATTGGAATATAGAAATGATTTTGAGCTTTCATATTCGGCAGAATTTATTATCAGAAATTTTAGCTGTATGGTTTTTTATTATCTGCTTATTGTTGTACCTGCTTAAGACCAATGTGGTCTGGTATATCTTCTGAAATTTGTGACAGAGTTTATCGTGGAATAAATATATTGACTGGGGACCTTTTGAATATCAATTAATTCATATGAATTGTTAGTAAAAGAAAATATCCTGATTCTGAATTATTGAAGCAAGGGTTATGTAAGGGGAAAAAAAAACTCAAAAGGGGTGTACAAGAATTTTCTTTGAGGGGATCAGAGTGATTCTGAATATTACTCTTCTTTTTCCCTTGGTTGTAAGAGTATTGGGAAAGACTGATAAAATCTAGCATTGAAGTAGGCTAAGGTATTTGTTTTTAAGGTTATGATATGTGTTGATATTGTAGCTTCTAAATTTTTGTGGGATTTCTTGGGTATATGTATCGTTGCAATAATAATACATATGGAGTTTCTACTGAGGGCAACTTTTACATAGCCTTACACCTGATAAGTTGAGAAGCTGTTGAAAATGTGGAGCATGCTGAATGTTTGGATAGTTCCCAATAATTGGTGTCATGTTCTTCCTTGAGATCTAAATGTAGACACTGATTTAGGCCATACAAATTACTGTATGTCCAATTAAAATGGTATTATAAGGTTAAGCTCACACATTAATGAGGCTCATTACATTTGTATATTAAACTGATTTTTAGTATTGCAATTTTTTGATATACTAAATGGTCTATAACATTGATTAAGAGAAATTAAACAAATCATAAACAGGACATTATTTTAGAGAGGAGGAAATAGAATACCATTGACTTAGTGCTTGTTTGGTTCAACATGGGAAATAAATTCCCACGTGAAATCATATATCATGAGAAGTTATTTCCTGCTAATTGCATAAAAATTTAACAAAAGTGTTTGGTTGACATCATGGGAATTAGTATTTCCTTGGAAATAACTTCCTATGTATTGTAGGAATTCACTCACCTAGGGGGGATTGGTGAGTTATTTCCCATGCTATGTGAGAATTTACATTTCCCTTGGAAATTTTATTTCCTAGGAAATTTTATATCCTAGGAAATTTCTAATTAAACACAACAGATTTTAGCTATTGCCTAGGAATTTCCATTTTCAAGGAAAATATCATCCAACCAAACAAGCACTTAATGTAGGAACACAATATACTCCTTGTTTTCATTAGGAGCTTTCTCTTTATCCTTCTAGTTCTGAATTGTTTAAATGAAACTTCCTGTTGTTTCTCATGGTATAATTTGGCTACCATAAACATTAGGATGCTTGTCTTTGTTTTTTTTTTATTTTTTTTTATTTTAAAGTATTTAATTTATTTTTATTACATGGTAAAAATTAATTTTTCTGCTTCTCTGGGGTTTGAATGATAGGCGGACGGTGAAGAACATCCCAAAGTATGCTTCAGCCCAATTTTATATTGATAATGTTCTGCCTCGAATCAAGGAGAAGAAAATAATGGCCTTAAAGCCTTTTGTTGATAGACTCGGGTAAGTTGTAGCTGATGTTGATTTGTATTAGAAATGCAGGTTTGATTACTTATACGAGGTATACACCCTCCTCTTTCAGGTACGATAATGTTCCTCAAGAAATCAACAGGCTGAGGTGTAGGGTGAACTATCACGCTCTGAAATTTCTTCCTGAGATTGAGCAGATGGCTGATTCACTGGCATCAAGAATGAGAAATCGCACAGCTAATTCAAACCCATACATGTATGAACCTTAACTCATGGAGAGAGAGTCGCCAATGAAACATTTCATTCGCTATTTACTCTACTCTAATATTGTTGTTTCTTCGGAACAGGGCTCTTCATCTTAGATTTGAGAAGGGCATGGTGGGTCTATCTTTCTGTGATTTTGTTGGGACCAGAGAGGAGAAAGTCAAAATGGCAGAGTACAGGAAGAAGGAATGGCCAAGACGCTATAAGGTGCTTTCAAATAAAACTTTTCCTTTTTATTTGACGATTTGTTATTTCTCCAGATTTTATTGCTGCTTTAAGCCTTTAAGTGTCGATAGATATAAACAAACATATGCTTAATGTGTTCATCTTAGTTTCTCATGAAAGTGTTTGTTGCAGAATGGTTCCCATTTATGGCAATTAGCTCTGCAGAAACGAAAAGAAGGTCGATGTCCACTTGAACCTGGTGAAGTGGCTGTTATTCTCCGTGCTATGGGATACCCAAAAGAGACCCAAATTTATGTTGCGTCTGGGCAAGTTTATGGGGGGCAGAATCGGATGGCACCACTCAGGAACATGTTTCCTAATCTGGTGAGATCTTCTTACCTCTTTTTTGCACCCAACCCCTAGCTAGAAAAGGTTTTCATTTTTGTGCATAAATTAAAAGCAATGACAAAAGTGGAGCTGATCAAATAAGTTTTACTGGTGTAAAAAACCTTTCTGTTAAAAATAAAAATATAAAATGTGATGTTCCTGCCTGAAGATACCACTACACCTGAGTAACTGGGTCCCTGTTGTCTTCTTTCCTTCTTTTTTGGGCATGGTGGGATAGGGAATAGGGGAAGCTTAATTATTCACCAATCTGTCGTATTATCATATGTGCCTTTGTCAGAACTTACTACTCCTTTCAAAGAAAGCCTCAGAAGTCTGTATTTGAAATCTTTTTGTCATTTAAATGAAGCATTCCAACCAAAAACACTTAAATATTTATTTGCACTTGACACTCGTAACAAAGTTATTCTATGAAAACCATATGGCCTCTATATAGGGTATTAGGGTATCATTCCTGAAACAAAGTTGATCTAACATATTGTGGAGTAGTTGTGATTTTGCATCTAAATTGTCAATAAAAAGGTTATATCACCATGGCTATTGTTAGACTAAATCGTAGATGATATTGTTTCTGATTTCAATTACAGGTAACGAAGGAGGAATTGGCAAGTAAGGAAGAGTTGGATGGCTTCAGAAAGCATGTTACAAGCCTGGCAGCGCTTGACTTCTTGGTTTGCTTGAAGTCTGATGTATTTGTGATGACCCATGGAGGCAACTTTGCTAAGCTTATCATTGGCAATAGGCGATACATGGGCCATAAGTTAAAGTCCATTAAACCAGATAAAGGCCTTATGTCCAAATCTTTCGGGGATCCATACATGGGCTGGGCCACCTTTGTTGAGGATGTTGTGGTGACCCACCAAACAAGGACGGGTTTGCCGGAGGAAACCTTCCCTAATTATGATCTATGGGAAAATCCTCTAACCCCTTGCATGTGTAGGGCATGAAGAGTGCACATATATGGAGTTTGGAATCAGGTTTTGTTTTGTAAGAAGAAAATTTGGAGTGGCCATTGTCCCAAAACAGATGCCTCCTTTTTCAAGATGGTTTTAAGGAGTATCAGGTTGAAAATTGCTTTATCGATGCTCCTTACTCGGACCAGTTATGGTTAAAGTATGTACCGAAGTTTGACGAATCTGGAGGTTGATAGACAGTGTTCAGAGGGAGACTGGTTTCACGAAGTTCTCTATAGGGGGTTGTCATATAATTGTTCTTGTACTAACTGTTAGGCAATTATAACTTGTATATTAATTTAAATAGAAAACTAAGATGCCCAATTGCTACTATTATATTTTTTGATGTGTATTTTCACTTCCCACATGTCGTTTTGCTCGGCGCAGCTGAATACGTGATTGTTCTATTAGTGTCAACCAGGAACCAACTCACTCATTTAGAGTAAAAATTGGTTGCTTACTGCTTCCATCTCAAAATGAACTTTAAACTTGCTTTGTCAGGGTTGAAGGTTGTTCACATTGCCTGTATAATTATTACGGAGTGTGGAGTAATAGATAGCGGGAGTATAGACTTACTCGTAAATCGTAATATCATGTCATTTCATTGATTACTTCAGATGAAAATGAAACAAAATTAGATACAAAACCAACTATAACCCTTTTGTTTCAATCAATATACTCAAAACTGATATTCACAAATCGAAAAATCAAGAATCTCAGCACTCAGTAATCTCTCATACTCATCATAATATCGGAGTAACCGTAACTATTAACCCTAAAATTATTTACCTGAGATAACATGTACGAAGTAATAAGCTAAATTTACAGCACTTGTATAATCAGTACTACGCAGTTAATTCCTAGCAAAATTTCAATCAAACAATTCATTGCTTGAAAACAGCAAAATTAGAAAGAGGATGATGACTGATGATTGTACCTCACTCTCCCAAGTTCACATCCTCCCGATTCCCCGGTGATTCTTCGACCGTGAACGGCGGCAGTGGCGGAGCACTCCAATTCGGCGACCAATTGTTAGGTGAGAGAAACTCTGTATGCAACCACTCTGCAAACCCTGGCGGCATCGAGTATTCACCATGAGAGAGGAACTCCACTGACGGTGAAGGCGCCGGAGTTTCGACATTTTCTTGTGAATAAGCATCAATTGGCGGAACTGATATTGAATTGATGCTTCCTCCAGTGAATGCAACATCATGAAATTCTGGAATTGCTCCATATTCCGGCCACAAAGCACCAATCGGTGGCCTGACTTGTGAAATTTCTGGCGAGAAAACGTTAATTGGCACCGAAGTTCCGTCAATCTGCGGTGAAAACGCCGGAATGCCTCCGAAATCCGGCGAATACGGCGGAATTCCTTCAATCTGCGGCGAGGTAAAGCCGATTGGCGCCGATATTCCGCCAAACTCCAGTGGAAATGACGAGAAAGCATGATTTGGCGCCGGAACTTGCTCAATCTCCGGTGGAAACGCAGGAAACCCTGCAATCTGCGGCGAGAAAGCGTCAATTGTAGGAACAGAGACTGATTTGACGCCATTGTTTCCAGTAATTGGAGCAGGAGTAGGAGAAAAAATCGGCGGCGGAGTAATGACGGAATCAAGGCGATGGAAGAATTCTTCATTAGAGGAGACGAGAATTCCGTCTAGGCCATGAACGGCGATGTTAGACCTCAAGTAGAGGTCAGGAAACGAAACACGAACTCCATCAATGGCGACGCGACGGCGACCAGAAGATGCGACATGGAGAAGATGACCTCGCACGAGAGTCTCCAAGTGAGGATGAGAGGAGAGAGAAATATTGCGAAGCTCCGAAAACGAGAGACGACGAGGAACGACATGGAAGCGCAGAGAGTGAACGTAGGTGAAGGCGTCGGTAGACATGTCGAGAGTGAAGAGGACGGAGTTCGGAGGTGCGAGGAAGGTGAATCCACTGCGGCTGACGCCATGGAAGGCGGCGGAGGAGGTGGAGTTGAGTTTGTGCGAGAGGATTTGAACGGAGAGGTCGGAGACGGCGATGGAGTTTCCGAAGAGGTTGAAGCCGTGGAGATGGAGAGCAAAAATGGCAGATTCGAGTTCGGCGAAAGAGAGGTCCGCCATTGATGATGAGATGAGGAGAGAGAAAGTGAGGAAGATGATGAGAGAGTGTTTTTCCGCCATTGGAGGTGTTTGTGGAACTGTGGAAGAAGAGAGGGAAAATGAAGTTTGAATTGGGGAGGAGTAGGTTTTTATAGTGGCAGCTGACGTAAGCAGTTTGTTAGATTTTTTTTTTATATAAAAAGTCCTACGAAATTTTGTACAGTAGTTTGTTGGATTAGTTGGTGGGTTTTTTGTTTTTATTTTACCATAATTTTTCATTGAAAATTGTATAAAATTTAGAATTTATGATAAAAATACGCATAAATCAAAAGTGTTTTCCCTACATAATATTGGAAAGAGATGCAATTCCATAATTATAGTTTTTTTTATAAATTCCCAATTTACCACATCATCATTTATTTTTTATTTTTATTTTTTTTGGTGTGGTTTACCAGAAGAAAACCGTTAGCGGTTTCTTAATATATACAGTATTTATATATATATATATATAATAAAAGATGAAAAAAAAAAACCTGACTTTCTTAGCTTGCTCTCTATTCTTTTCCTTGGTATTGTCGTTCACACTCAAGCTTTAGAATCAAATTCCTCTCATTCATTCTTCTAAATTCATTATTCATTGCCCATCATCCTCAAAGAGTAAAAGTTATGGTGGGAGGATTTCTTATTCAATTTGGGGATTAAGTTTGGGAATCTGATTTTTTTTATTCAAATTGTTTGGAATTATAAATCAAGTCATCATCGCCATCACCACCACCGCCACGGCCACCATCACCACCATCTCCGCTACCTTTTCGTCACAATTTTTTCGCCATTGGGTTAATTTAACTTTGTGTCAACTATGAAATTATGTAATTCAGATTTTTTTTTTTTTTTTTTTTTTTGAGAAAGTATGTAATTAAGATGTAACTAAATTAAGATCTGATTTTTTTCTAAAAAATAAAAAAATTAAGATCTGATTTTTGTTAAATTGATTTGGACTTTGGAGTATTATCAACCTTGCCTTGATCTTCGCAATTCATGGTATTCACCCTTTGATTTGTATTTGTACTCCGTATAATTACTTAGATCTGAAAACTCAACAAGTACGGTATACATTAAGAAACCGCTACTTCAAGTAGCGGTTTTCTTCTGGTGAAGTAGCAGTTTTGCCAAAAAAAATCAAAATAAAAATAAATAAATTGAGAATTTATAAAAAAAATAACTGTAATTCTGAAATTACAGCTCTTTCCAACATTATGTAGGGAAAGCACTCGTAAATCAATGTAATTAGTGTTTATATTTTTATGATTTTCTAAATTTTTACGATTTTGTAATGTATGTAGCTCTAAGGGTTATGTATAACATTTTCCTTAAAAATGGGTAATAGTATATGTAATCCTAAAGACTATATATAAGCATTAAATACACTATTAAAAAATTGTATTGGTTTTTAAAAGTCTAAATTATGGTCAAAATTGACAGAAAAATTATCAATCACATCTCGTTTTCCATGCCAAGAAATAACACTGACCTAGTAATGCATTATGTTTTTTCATAAAAAAAAAAAAAAAAAAAAAAAAAAAAAAAAAAAAAAAAAAGGAATGCATTATGTTTCACCCAATTAATCATTTGATCTTAAAAAAAAAAAAAATAATAATAATAATTATAAAAAAAAAAAAAACTCCCGTTTAGGGGTGATTAGGGCTGGGCGGCAGGGTGGGTTTCCACAGTACTTTCCGGCGGTTTTTCCGGCTCTATCCGGCGTTGGTCTCTCTTCGTTCTGGTCAAGTGTCGGCGGCCGGCTTCCAAGGTTTGTTTTCCGGCAGTTTTCGGGTGCAGTTTCATCGTATTTTTGGTGCAATTTCGGGATTCATTTGGTGTAATTTCATCGTCTTTCTCCGGCGTGATGTTGGGATCGCAGTTACGCGAATTTTAGGGAGGTTTCTGGGCAAAATTCCGGCGTAATTGGTGCGTAATTGAGGCGGTTTTTGTAATCCTGTTCGCAGGTTGTTCGCAGGCGTTTTAAGGCTGTTTGCAGGCGGTTTAAGGGCTGGTATCAGGCTGTTTGCAGAAGATTCCGGCGGGAGTTTCTAGTTTCAGATGGTTTTGGTCAGTTTTCGGGCATAATTGAGGCAATTGCTGGGCGTTTTGGTGGTCGTTAAGGTTCAGTTTTGGTTCGGTTTTTGGCTAGTTGTTCTGGTTTTTAGCTAGTTATTCTGGTTTTGTGTGGTGGCAGCTTGTTTGCACGTGTGTAGCTATGTCGGCTGTTCGGGTGAAGTTTCATTGCCCCTTTATGGGTCTTAGTGGTTGTCAAGATGGAAGTGGCAATGGTCTTACTAAAAGTTCTCTTATCAAGCATCTTTGTGATCGTCATTTCTGTATTGGTGCGTGGGATATCACACGACATTCTCTTACTTCTAATTTGGCCGTTTATACTGAGGCTGAAGTTACTTTTTCGCGTATGGGGATTTGGTTATGTGGGGTTTGCTACAAAACGCATACGCATCGTACTAAGTGTCGTCATAGTCCGAGCAGTGGCGGACCCAGGATTTTCCGACTGGTGAGTCACAATCGATAATCAAATATGTAAAAAAAATTTTTTACCAAACAACCAAATAATAGTACTAAAAAATACATCCAAATATTCAAACAGTACAAAATACAACCAAATGTTCATATAATACTACAAAAGACAACTAAATAGTAATGCAAACTTATTAAAATAGTTATCGACGAGTTTTCATGTTTTGATATCGATTCATGATATCTTCCATGCTAACATTCAAAAACAAATCATTCTCCAAATAAGTAATTAAACAATCATTCAACATTTGATCTCCCATGCTATTTCGTAGTTTGTCTTTCACTTGCTTCATGCCAGAAAATACTCTTTCCACACTTGCCGTTGCGACAGGAAGAAGCAACACCAACTTCAAAAGTAAATAGACCCTATCATGAGTTTCAGACAATCCCGTTTCAACCAATTTGATTGAAAGATCACTAAGACCCTTCAAATTCCAAAACCTTTCATCTCCTCTAACAGAACAAATGTAACTATCAAGTGTATGACCAAAGACTATCAATTCTGAACTTGGAAATTCATTAGGATAGAATTTTGCAAGCTTAATCAATTTTTCCTTATCAAACTTAGAAAAACGATCCACAGGACTCAAACAAGACATACACACAAGTAGTTCTTTAGTTATTTCGGGAAATCGATTTTCAAGTTCTTGCAATTGAAGATCAATGACACCAAAAAAAAACTTCAACTCGAAAATGATGTAGATTAGACACTTGTGGGCATTTACCTCTAAACAACCTCCTCCCGGGAACAACATATTTAGCCTCCATATCTGGAACTGCAATGTCATAGTCACCAATAAAAGAAATTACCTTTTCCATATGAGAATCCCATCCTTCATCTCTCATTTTTTGCAAATTAGTCTTGGTTACATTAACCATGGCCATTGCATTCACAATGTCTTGATCGTGCTTTTGTAAGGCCACATTCAAAGCATTTGTTATCGCAAATATACTAACCATCAAGTGTGCCACGAACACAAAATCAAAGGACATCAGAAGATTTGTAAGTGTTTGAGCTCTATTAGAATCTATTGTATCAGATACTTTTGCAATATCCTCAAGAGAACCAAGGATTACAGGGAATAAATCAAGTACATTCAAGATTGTCTTGAAGTGAGATCCCCAACGAGTATCACAAGGTCTACCTAATCCACGTTCTTGATTTAAACCTGAACCCGTTTCAAGTTCACCTAGAGACAATGCATCCACCACTCTTTGAGCTTGATTTTCACGAAGAAACTCTTTCCTTTTTGGTGAACCCCCCACAAAATTCAAGAGAGGTGCAAGTACATCAACAAATAACCAAGCACAATCTGAATTCTTTTTAGCAAGTGCAACTTGAGTTAATTGAAGTTGGTGAGCAAAGCAGTGGACAAAATAAGCTTCTTTACACTCATTCTCTATAAGAGTCCTAAGGCCATTAATAGAACCTTGCATATTACTTGCCCCATCATAACCCTGACCCCGTACTTGAGAGAAAGACAAAGAATGCTCCATTAATAAGGATTCAATAGCAGTTATGAGAGTCAAAGAAGCAGTGTTTACAACATGCACAATACCAAGTAAACGCTCACACACTTCTCCCTTTCTATGAACATATCTCAAACAAAGAGCCAATTGTTCCTTGTCAGAAACATCAGCGGACTCATCAGCAAGGATAGAAAATAAACCACCATCAATATCTTCAAGCATTGCTTTAGTGGTCTCTTTTGCACATGCATTTATGATATCTTTTTGGACTTTAGGAGAAGTAAGTTGACAATTACTAGGAGCATTTTTGAAAACAACTTTAGAATATTCAGGATTACCTTTGGAAATAAGGGATAAAAGTGAAAGAAAGTTACCTCTTCTTAAGGAACTTTCTTTTTCATCATGACCACGGAAAGGCAACCCTTGGAGTAAAAGCCATTGGATAGATTCAATTGAAGCTTCAAGTCGCGTCCTATATGCATTTGTACTCTCAGCGGTTTGTTTTGTTAAGGCTTGTGTGATGCTTGAATTTTGTTTCTTGAACAAATCCATAGCTAAAACAGCATTATTATGTGCACTCAAGTGTTTACCGACATGTTTTCTTATTAAATCCGACCGATTCCATGATTTGAAACCATCACTAACAAAAGCATCACCTCCAAAGGCATTTTCATCCTTGAATAGATAACAAGGGAAACAATAGGCAGCATCCTTTTCCACACTATACTCAAGCCAAGTCCAAGTATCAAACCACTTAGCACAAAAGCGACGATTTTTGCCAAAAATAGAAGTTTGAGGAAATGTAAAGTCTTTGGGCTGACAAGGCTTTCTTTGAATGTAAATTCTTCTCACTAAATCTCTATCATCTTTATGAAATTGACTCATTTTTCTCCTCTTTCCTGGATCTTGTGGAAGATTAGCAAATTCATGTTCACTTAATCTTTCTCCAAAGATTGGGGCATTAGGAGAACATTGGCCTTGTTCATTTTGAGGGGAATTTTGAGTTGAATAATGAGATGGAGATGAAAGTTGCTCACTTTCTTGAGGTGGAGTTATAGTTTGTTCATTTTGTGTTGGACGTGGAAGAGAAGTTGGAGTAGGATTCTTTTTAGCAAAGAAGCTAGTAATGTTTTGCATTTCATTTGGAGTATGTTTTCTCTTCATTCTGAAATTTGAATAAATATTGAACTAAATCAAGCAATATTCCCCAGAAAAATTATTTGAATAAATATTCAACTAAATGGTCTAAATCAAGCAATTTCACATAATGACATAATCACATAAACATATTACACAAAACACAATTACACAAAACAGATTTCACATAAGTAATAACTAATAAGTTCAAGAGATTTCAATTACACAAAACACAATTACACAAAACACAATTACACAAAACAGATTTCACATAAGTAATAACTAATAAGTTCAAGAGATTTCAATTACACAAAACACAATTACACAAAACAGATTTCACAAAAAAAATCAATTGATGATTAGTTGATTACCTACCTTGCTAGGCGGAGGCGAGCAGCGGAGCAGGCGGAGCAGCACTGCAATAGGGCCACGGGCAGTCGGCCAGCACCGCAGCACGGCAGTCGGCAGCACTCAAGTCTCAGGCACCGTCGCACCGAGGCACGCACTCAGCAAGACAGCAATTCGCCAATTCAACAGCACAGCCAACTACAAATTAACAAATCAACCAAAGTTTAAACCAAAGTTTAATAAAATTAACTAATTAGACTGAATTAATTTGAAGATTAGAAATTAAAAATAAAAATTAGAAATCAACTTACTAGCACCGACGTTTCGAGTAGCGATTTCACGAAGAGGACGGAGTCCACGAGTCACGACCACCAACATCCGACTACCAGGCGATTAGGCGAAGAGAACGGTGGCTGCCTGGCTGGGACGAAGCGAAGAGGCGAACGCCGCGAACTGAAGAATGGAGATGAGGCGATTAGGCGAAGTCACGAAGAGAAGAAGGCTAGGGCTTGAAGTCTCCTCTAACTGATTTTTATTTTTTTTTTATTTTTTTTATTTTTTAAAAAAATAACTTAAATTTTTTTTTTGGGCCTGGTGAGTCACTTGACCTACCAGGTCTAAGCCCAAGTCCGCCACTGAGTCCAAGTGAGATTGTGTCACCCCCGGATGAAAGGAGATGGTATTGTTCGTTTTGTGTTTCATGGTTTCTCCAAGCCGCAAGCTCCATCTTCTCAGCTTGGGCACATAGGTGGTTTGGTTCAAGAGCAACATTGTGGTTTTGATGTGGCTCTCCTTGATTGTTTGTTCTCCAAGGGGTTTCGTACTGTGAAATCTATACCTCCTAAGTGTCGTTTGGGGTTTTCTCGGGTTCTGAAAGGTGCCCTTGATAAGGTGATCTCTAGGCCTGATGACATTTCTAGTTGGGTCTCTTTGTTGGTGTTACCTCTTTGCACCCTTAAAACCTTTCGCCCGCGGAGCAGCTGTGAGTCTAGGTCTTCGGTAAAACGTCGGCATCAAGAAGAAAGTATTTCCCGTGCTATTTGTTCTTGGAGTGCACCAAGTGGTAATTTGGAGCTTGTGAGGGATACTTTGGCAAAGGATTCTCCCCCTTTGTCGGTGGTTGGTGATGAGGACCTTGATTTGGAGGAGCGTAATATCAAGCAATGTCGTAGGAATATTTGTGACGGCCATTACCCTGCTGCAGTCTGGGTTCTTTCTTCTTCAGGCGTTGCTCCTTATAATGATGCTACTCTCGCGGATTTATAGTCTAAACACCCTATTTCTCCAGCTCCATCCTTGCCTGATATACCTGTTGATGGCCTTCATCTCGTTACTACTTCTGATGTTGTTTTGGATCGAATTAAGAGCTTTCCACGTGGCACATCATGTGGTAGGGACGGGTTACGTGCTCAACACCTTATGGATTGCTTGAGCGGTGCTGCTGTGGCTGTATCAGATGAGTTAGTTGATTCTATTTCTGGGGTGGTTAATCTCTTTCTAGCTAGTAAGTGTCCTATGGAGCTAGGAGAGTATATTGCTAGTGATTCTCTTACACCACTTGTCAAGCCTGGTGGTGGTATTCGTCCTATAGCTGTGGGTACTGTTTGGCGGCGTCTGGTTTCGAAGGTCGGTGCTGTTATGGTTGGTCAGTCTTTAGGAAGCTACTTTGATGGTCTCCAATTTGGTGTTGGAGTTTCTTCGGGAGGTGAGGCGATTCTACATGCTGTGAATCAGTTAAATGAGGATCGTGGTTCCGATGTGGGTCTTTCTATGTTATTGGTGGATTTTCAAAATGCCTTTAATCTAGTTGATCGTGCAGTCATGTTACGTGAAGTTCGTCGTCATTGTCCGGGCCTTTCGCGATGGGTTGAATTCTGCTACTCTAATCCAGCTAGATTATATTACGGGGACCACACCTTATGGTCGTCTCAGGGGGTGCAGCAGGGTGATCCCCTTGGTCCCCTGCTTTTTGCTTTGGTTTTACAGCCCCTAGTGTGTAAAATCCGAGACACTTTTGATGTATGTCTTCAGGCTTGATATTTGGATGACGGTACTGTTATTGGTGACACGTTGGTGGTGGGGAAGGTTTTGCAGTTGATTATGGAGGACGGGCCTCGTTTTGGGTTACATCTTAACGTCGAAAAAACTGAAGTTTTTTTGCCTACAGAAGACCCTCGAAGCAAGCTTGTGGGTGTCTTTCCACCTAATATTGCTCGACCCTTGTGTGGTGTTAAGTTGCTTGGTGGTCCCGCTAGTTCTGATTCCGGTTTTGGAGGTGACCTTGTGATGTAGAGGGTGACAAAGACCATTGCGCTTATGGATAGGGTTGCTAAGCTTGATGATCCTCAGTGCGAGTTGTTGTTTCTTAGGGCTTGTACCGGAGTTTCTAAACTCTACTTTGCTTTGCGTACTTGTCCCCCTAGTACTTTTGAGGTGGCTTAGCGCACTTTCGACGAGGCACTTCGATCTTCCTTGGAGCGTATCGTTGCTGCTTCGAGGCCTGGGTTTGGCGATTGGCAATGGCGGCTTGCCACCTTGCCTTTTACGTATGGCGGACTAGGTGTTTATTCCGCAAGTGATGTTCGTCATCTTGCTTCGTGGTTATAGTCTGCTGGGTTGTAGGCACATACGGCATACTGGCGTTGTGGGCCTTGGTCGAGCATTTGAGGATGCGTTGGGCTTGTTCAATAGAACGGCGGAGTCTGACATTTTAAGTAATCCTAGTGAGGTCGCTGCCCCTAAACTCATGAAGAAATTGACATATATATATTTCACAAAGGTTACCGATTCTGCAGAATCCACCTTCTCTTTATCTCCCTGTCAATCAGCTTTGTGGAAATTGCAGCAGGGAGATCACACCTCTGCTTGGCTTCGGGCGGTTCCTATCTCGGGCTTGGGTTAGACGATGAACGCAAAGACTTACCGATGTGTGTTGTGCTACCGCTTGGGTGTTCCATTGTTCTCTGTCTCGACGCCGTGCTCTGCTTGCTCTCGGATTTTTACTGGGGATATTTTTTTGTGATCACGAGGTGTCGTGTGCTGGTATTGTGGATATTAAATATCGGCATAATGTTGTCTGGGATACCCTTGTTGATATCTGTTACAGATCTGGGACTTCAGCAAGAAAGGAGGTTGACATAGGGTTGTCTGGAGGGAATGACGGGGCCCTTAGACCTGCTGATGTGTTACTTTATTCATGGGATCGTGGTCACGATGTATGTGTGGACTTAACAGGATCTTCTCCTTTGACACAGACAGGCTTATCTGACTTTGTTCCTGGACAGGTTGTGGTTGATGCGGCTCATCGGAAGCGGGTGAAATATGAAGCTAGTTGTCGGCTGCTTGGATATGGTTTCATTCCCTTTTCCTTTTCTTCGCTTGTGGAATTAGAGAAGGAGACTGTTGTGTTGCTGAAACGGGTTCAGAGATTCTCGACGACGCAAGACATCGGGGCTCGTGCTGCAGCTCATATCTTCATTAGGGTAGGCTTTGCTATAACTAGAGGAGTGGGGGCCCAGATTGTTTCTCGACTTCTCACTAATTTATTGTAGGTTGTTCACTAATTTATTGTAGGTTGTATAACTTTGTTTGTTTTTGAGATAATAATAATAATAATATTATTATTAATAATAATAATAATAATAATAATAATAATAATAATAATAATAATAATAATGACAATTATGTATCCTAGTTTTTCTCTTTTGTGTCCTAGTTTTGGTTTTGAAGAGTATCTCTTTGTATTCAAGAGTATTTTAATGTTAATGGTAATCCTAGTTTTTCTCTTTTGTGTCCTAAAATTTTAAAGGGACGAAATAAAGAACCCTCTCTTTTCCCTTTTATAAAGGAGCTAGATACAATTTCAAATTTCAATAACCTTTTAATTTTTATTTATTTTTTTATTTTTTTCAAATTTCCATAAACTGTAGCTATGTAATTACAATTGAAATCAAATTCAACAAACATAACTCATGCCTTAATTTGTTTCGATAATACCAAGATAACTTGCATTATGCTATAAAAATACTCGAACACCAAACCACATGAAATTAAAACATACATTCCCTATAATTTCCCTAAATCTGCAGCATAATTATTGTTTGATTAGTTGCTAATCCTGTTCATCAAGATAAACTAATCTTGAAAATAATATACTACGAAGTATTACTCATTTTTAATTTGTAATCAACCACAAAAGCTTCTAACATCATTACGGAATATTTGGTATATGATCCGAATATAAACAGGGATAAAAGATTTGGATAAGGATACGAAATAATTACTCCATATACCATAGTGAGATAGGATAAAAGATACAGATACACCACCAAACAGACTGTAAAGGTACCACGTATTAACACCGTTAAAACATCTTCCAGCATAAACAGATGGCAGATGTTGCAGCTGCTTAGCTTATTCAAGCAGTGATCAGTCTCAATGAAGATCTTTCTTTCACCCATTTTCTCTCTCTTCTCTCTGCTTTTACTTACCAGGTAAATAATCAAACTATTTTTTTTTTTTTTTTTTTTCTGAGTTAAATTTGTTAGTTTGTTTATTTTCTGGGTTTATTTTGTTGGTTGAAGTTGCTATTGATTGTTTCTGCTTTATATGATACTCAGCGTGGATGTCAGTTAGCTTAGTTGGTATAGTCTTGTCCCGTGACTCGTAGTTGAATCTCATCTACATAACTGCCTTTCATTCTTTCTAGACACATTTTGGTTTTTTTGGTGTTAATGTAAGTCCAAGAATTGAGAATTTGATGATGATAAAAAGTTGGGGCATCCCCTTAATTTAGGTTCATAAATGGCCGCTTATGTTAACCTGTTGTATTTTAGCACAATTTTTGGTTAAAAACTACTTAAGTATCTAGTTGTTGTAATTATAGGACTATTTTTGGTAACTTGAAAATAAAGGTGTTGTAATTTAGCACCATTTTAGCTCAAGTAGAAAATTTGACATTGGGAGCTGCTAAATTTAACAGAAAGTGTATAATTTCTGAGGTGGGATTATCGTTTGTGCATAGTTTTTTCGTGCTATAATTTTTTAATTGAAGTTGGATGCGTTTGTTGCCAATTGGTTCATAACTTATGGTATGTGGGATGTGTTTGTTCTCAATTGGTTAATAACTTACAGTATGTGGGATGTTTATTTTGTCCCAACATCTTATAATAGAAATGGGATCATACAATTGGGAAAGGTTTGGGAAGGTGTAGATGTGGTTTAAGAGACAATTGTGAAATATATACTAAAGTCGGTTTTCACGGTTATTATCATGTTGCTTAACTCTAGGATGGTACTGTTTTTTTTGTCAAAGAAGCTTTAATTTAAGGTAAATGACATTTTGAAAAATGGGGTTTGAGACTTTTGGAGCAATGTCAAGTCAAGGATGTTAAATTGCATCGAAAGAAGATAGTAAGATACTGTTAGTTCAAGGGATTATATTGTATTGTTGTTAACATGTGTTTTGTTAGAAAGAAAAGAACTATCAGAGCTTAGAAGTGTGGTTAGCTAACATTAATATTGCCTCAACAGGGTAACATCTAAAGGCTTAAGCCATGCACATCCAAAACATGCTGCGACACCACCAAGGGGATGGAATTCGTATGACTCCTTTTGTTGGACAATCTCTGAAGAAGAATTTCTAAAAAATGCAGAACTTGTTTCTAAACGGCTTCATGCTCATGGATATGAGGTCTGTGTTGTGATAGATTTGATTTTTACAGCATTTGTTCCTGTCATTTAAGATTTCTACCATTCTGTAATGACCTTTTACCTAGAACCAACAATTTCAGTAATTTCCTGATTCCCTTGCAGTATGTTGTGGTTGATTACCTCTGGTATAGGAAAAAGGTACCTGGAGCTTATCCAGATTCTTCAGGATTCGATGTCATTGATGAGTGGGGAAGAATGGTTCCTGACCCTGATAGGTGGCCTTCATCCAAGGGTGGGAAAGGATTCACCGAAGTGGCCAAAAAAGTGCATAAAATGGGGTTGAAATTCGGAATACATGTTATGAGAGGAATAAGTACACAGGCAGTAGATGCTAATACACCTATCTTAGACACCAGTAAGGTATTGGTTTTTTTTTTTTTTTTTTTTTTTTTTTTTTTTTTTTTTTTTTAAAATAAATAAAATACTGAGACTCATTTGTTAGTTGTTCCGTTGATATCATCTTTTATATCAAGTTATCTTAAGGACTGAGCAAAAGAAGTTATTTTTTTGCGTGGTGTAACATGGTTTAGTTATTCTTGGACCATTCAAGGCATAATTACAGTATGAGCACTATAAACTATGGACTTATTGTTTTGTTTTTCCTATTTCTAATCTTGGTGTTCCCCTCAGGGAGCTGCTTATATTGAGAATGGAAGAAAATGGACTGCAAGTGATATAGGGATGAAAGATAAGAAATGTGTGTGGATGCCACATGGGTTTATGAGTGTGAATACAAATTTGGGAGCAGGAAAAGCATTTTTACGATCGCTTTATGAACAATATGCTGAATGGGGAGTTGATTTTGGTAATGTAATGGCTGCTTACTAAACTTCTTGTACAAAGTTTCATCTTGCTCTACATATTAATACCTTTGTCCTGATTAGTTTCTTTTTGCATGTTGTCTTAAAAAATGCATGACATGATCATTCCAATTGGTTAGTACTAGAAAATATATCTAATGCCTACTACTGCATCTCGTTTTGATTTCTTGTTGTTATGTTTCTTTTAATGTCATTGTGCCTTCAAATGGTACAACTTCAATATTTTATTTCTATGAGAGCAATAGATAAACATCTGACATGCTTCTGCAAGTGAGATCTAATGTTTTCTCTCTTAAAGTCTTTGTCACAAGTCTGGTATGTGTATTTCATAAAGTACAAATTTGTATCAATCTGCATTAGGCTTTTGACTTATTTTAATACCCATTATTTTGCTTACATATTGTTCTGTCTTGATCACAGTGAAGAATGATTGTGTTTTCGGGGATGATTTGGATATAAAAGAAATTAGCTATGTATCAGAGGTATCGAGATTAAAAAACTCTATTATTTTATAGAACCTACTCTATATCTGTTAGACCTTTTACTAGAATATGTTTGACTCTGTGTAGGTTCTTAGGAAACTTTCACGCCCAATTCTATATTCCTTATCCCCTGGTACAAGTGTCACACCTGCTATGGCCAAGGAAATTAGTGGATTAGTAAATATGTACAGAATAACCGGGGATGATTGGGACACTTGGGGAGATGTGGCTGCACACTTCGACGTAACAAGGTGAATTAGGTTCTTACCGTCATGTTCATCTATGTGCATATCTTCTGGTGGATCTAGTGTCTTTTCATCTGTCAATTTGGCTATTTCCCTTTACTAATATCATTACTTTTTTCTATTTTCTATTGTTCAGAGATTTTGCAGCTGCGAAAATGATAGGATCCAGTGGCCTGTTGGGGTTATCATGGCCGGACTCAGATATGCTGCCACTGGGGTGGCTCACTGATCCAGGTATGTAATCACATTCACACACACCCTTCCATACTTGAGACCACATTTGACTTAAATGGTAAAACTTTACTAGTTAAACCATAAACTTGAATAAAATTATTAAGTTATGACTTGAAAATTATTATTTTAGATGTATCATAAGACATTTTTGATTGATGTACAATGATAAAATATTATGGTCAATATATAGCTTGACCACAAAGACAGAAGTGGCCTGTTTGGCTGTTTATTAGGATGGAGGTAGGATTTTATCATGCAGAATATTCAATTTAGAGGAAATTTCATATGAGAACTGTTTTAGTAAGCGTAGCTTCCATAGAGGTGCAACATGATTGTAAAACCTATCCTGCATGAGATTTTAATCTTTAAGGGCCATTACATAAGAACTCTCTTCACTTCAACTTGGCACGGGGGGTTCTGGTTTGTTAGGCAATTGGCTAATAGATTTATAAATGCTAGATCTTTTGGTGCTGCAATCATGGACCAAAAAAGATTTTATTTCAACTAGTTCATATTCATGAATCTCATGCAATTTTGTTTTATGGAAACATCAAAAGGATTTTAATTTGATTATATTTTATTGTTTAGCTAATAGCCACTATTAACTTGAATAACTGAATCAAATAGGTTCTAACGAAGGCCCACACAGGAATTGCAAGCTAAATTTCAATGAGCAGAAAACTCAGGTGGGTAAAGTCTGTACGAATGAACTGTGATTCTTTACAGTACTGTCTTTGTACCTTGATTTTCTTAACTATTTTGGTTGTGAAACTTATTTTATCAGATAACTTTGTGGGCTATGGCCAAGTCTCCGCTTATGTTTGGAGGAGATATGAGAAAACTTGATGACACTACGTATAAACTCATCACTAATCCTACCATTCTGGAAATCAATGCTTTTAGTTCAAATAACCAGGAGGTATGTTTTGCTTCAGACTGAATTTAAGAAGTACTTTGTCAAATTCAACCTAATGAGCTGATATCTTGTGGATTTTTTATTTTTATTTATTAATTTTTTTTTTCTCCGTACAGTTTCCTTTCATTAGGAGCTCTGATTCTACCAAAAGTAACCCCTCATCTCATTCAGCACATAAGGAAAACATTCAAAGTTCTCACACAAATTCTTTGGCTCTTGTGAGTTGCAAGGAACCCAAAGCAAAAGGCTGGTTAGTTGAATCTGTTGACCATGGTCTTGACCAAGTTTGCTGGAAAGATAATTCTGAAATCAATGAAGCACCCTTCTGCGTATACAAGGGAAAAGCACAAGTTACATCGTAACCAATCTTGTTCCTTTAATATAACCTTCAAATTTTCTTATTGTTAGCTTTATGCTTTACTGATCCTAATGAAATGGTTCTCTAGAGATGAAGAGCTCTATGGAACACAGTATGATGGAAAAACTCATCTATTAGAAACTTCCGAAGCAGAACTGTGTATTGAGGCTTCTTCTAGACAAAGACTTACTTCACAAGAGTTCAAGAGGGGCTCTTCATCTAAATGCAAAAGGGATGCCAATCAGGTAGTTTTTGGTCTAAAATGCTGTCTATATATGCTAAAATACTCTGAAGGATGTATCTAACAGCCCATTTTGTCGGAAATAATGCAGAAATTGCAATATACTTGTATGTAATATTGTGAGATAAGTTATGTGCCAATGTTCATATTGATGCAACTCCATTTCCCATCACATGTTTTTCTTCAAAAGTTTTCATGGTAGGGGTGAATGTAAAGTAATACCATATTTATTGGCACGGAAATTTCCTCACACCACCATTTATTACCAACAAATGGGCCATGAGCAGTGGTCCTTTTAAGGAGCCATACTCGAAGGTGAGATTCAGGGTGCAAGTCCCTGGAAACATTCTTGCCCATGTTGGACAGGTAAATAGGTAGTTATGTACTTATGTCAGTGTGTTGCGCAGATCAAAGGTAATTTATGATGTTGAGACTTGGCTGATGCATAATGTCCAAAATTTTATTAGATGACTATCTATGAGTACTCAGCTTCTGATGTATTCAGAAGTATATCAATACTAGAGGAACTTTTTCTATCAAGGGCTAATGCAGCTAAATTTTCAGATGTGGGAATTAAATATGAATGGCACCCTTGCGAACAGTTATTCTGGTTTATGTGCAACTGTAAAGACGGTTAAAGGTAGTATTTTGAAGCATCTCTCTAATTTTCTGTGTACTGTACTCTCCCAAAAATTAGATTAACTTAAATGCGCTCCTTATTCTTTCTTTCTTTTCATTTTTTTTTTTTTTTGTTCTTAAGCTAATGCTACCCCTGGAGGAATTCGCTCTTGGGTTGCCACTGGAAGAAAAGGTTTGATTCAATTTCTAGACTTAATAACAGCGCATATTGTGCAAAATTTAAGCACTACATATCCAATTATGTACTCCAAATTGGCTTTCAGATGTATTTATGTTTTATACTGTCATCTGTACTTCCAGGAGAAGTGTATCTCGCCTTCTTCAATCTGAACGAAGGGAAGACAAAAATAACAACGCACCTGTCAGATCTAGCAAAGGTACTCCCTGGTGTAAAATTCAAAGATGTATCCAAATGCGGAGAAGTTTGGAGCAGGAAAGACTGTCATATAAGAAAAGGGTCAATTTCCATGGACGTAGAAGCGCATGGAGCAGCATTACTTGTTCTGGCAAACAACAGAGAATTAATCAAAGTAATTAGCATTGGTTATAAAGTTAAGGTTACCTCCAATTTTTTAGTGCTTTTTCCCTTGAACTTTGTTCTGGGAATCGGAATGTTTATCAATGGCTAAATTCCTATTTTTTTTCTTTTTGTTTTTTTTTTTACAGATCAATTTTGACAGATCAATGGTTAAGTTGAAAACCTGAGAAGAAGGTTTGTGGGGAGGAATAGAGAGCACCCCTTGATCTTCTTACTCCGGGAGATGGTTCGAAATTATGGGTGTTACAAGGCAATAAAGGTTTTCATGGTGTTCATAATCTTATTTTTGCATCTAGCCCAAAGGGCAGACATGAACTCTTCTACACAATATTATGACGATTAAGTCGGTACTCTGCTGTCTTCTCTCCTTTACTCTTCTTATTGTCATGTTGCCTACATATCTGGTGGTTTTGAGGCTGAATGTATTGTGCAGTATAGAGGGAAAAATAGCACCAGACTAAGGAAATAAATGGGGTAAATAGAAAATACTTTCGCTTGGCCTCAGAATGAAACTAATACAATCTGAACAGGTTTGGACAAATCAATTGATTGCATGCAATAGATCATGAATACTAATTTACTTAACAACCTGGAGCAAGGAGAAGGAAAGGAGAATATGTGCAACAATGTTACAATTGTGGCGCTACTTTTCCGAGTTCTAAGCACTTAGTACCTCCGAAGTTCAGTCACGGCTGAAACTAATTTTCACCAGTTCATCAACAAATCACACCCAACTCTTGAGGTTAAGTGAGGACATAAAGGGCATCACACCTTCAAGAGCCCCACCCGGCCAGGTAGCTACTAGCCAAGGTAGGAGATAATTCTCGCTCACTAACTCAAACTCCTACCACTAGCTAAAGCTGGGCACCGTGCCGTGCCGCCGTGGGCCGTTCCGGTCGTGCCTAGCCACACGACGGGCCGTGGCCGTGCCGGCCATTTCCACAAGTCGGCCCACGTGCCTAGCGTGCCGTGTCGTGCCGGCCCCGTGCCGCCCATTTATTTATTTATTTTTAATATTTGCTTTATTATTTTGTTAAAAAAATATTAATTTTATTATAAAAGTATTGTGCCTGGCGGGCCGTGCCGACGGGCCGGTGTTCGTGCCGTGCTCGTGCCAAATTTCAATTTCCTTGTTCACGATACGGCCCACGACCCACCGGCCGTTCCACGTGTCGTGCCGCTGCCGTGATCGTGTCGGGCCGGGCCATCTGGCGTGCCGTGCTGGGCAGCCAACATGCCAGCCCGACCCATGCCCAGCTCTACCACTAGCTAAACTCTATAAGTGCTTTGTTGATGGACCCTAACCCCTTACCAATTGCAATAATATACGATAGTGTTTCGGTTTTTTGTATGAAGTTTGAGGGGGGGGGGGGTTTGTTTAAGGGCGATCTTCTATCAATTGTGGGCATTATAATCAAACCTTGCCGCTTGATCGACAATGGCCCTGTTTGGTTATTAGTTGTTAGCTGGTTGTATAAACTGATTTGACTAGCTGGTTATATTAGATGATTTGACTAGCTGATTGTAAATAGATGATTGTGTAGAACTGTTTGGTAAATAGTTATTTTAGTGTATTTAATACTCAATAGGTTAATTGTTCAAAAAGTTAATTTCAAAAAACTCTTATAAAAGAACTTTTTGACCCTAAAAAGCTTTTTAATAAGCTATTTACCAAACACCCAAATTAGCTTTTTAAAATGGTTAAACCTCTAATAGTGCTCAATAAGCTAAAAGCTTTTCAAACCCTCTTTATCAAACAAGGTCAATATCCTTTGGCAAAGGACAACAATGTTGCCAAAACTCATGATTTAGAGGAAAGGTAAGACTGAGAACATTGCTGCATAAATGCATAATGCCATTTCTTACAAAGCTATTATTGGTAGATTAGTTCTCACATGAAGATTATATCCTAGTAATCTAGTATTGGTTACATATCCTAATATGGTTGGTTTTGTTTCGGGTTTTTTTGTGTCTTATGGGAGAGTTACGTCACCAAGACTGGATTCCCTGCCGACTGTACCTGCAAAACAATGGAAGCTCCTGTTGGTAGGAGTTCCGCTTCCGACGATCAAGTTAGAAGCGGTCGAAGTAATGTAAAAAGTGCGGAAGGTAAGAGTAGATCTTCTCGGATCAGATGAGGTGTTTTCTCTGATGTGAGAGAATTAATTGTGCTGTAATAAATGAACGTGCCCCCAAAATGGGGTAAATCTCCCTATTTATAGGGTCATTGGTAAATGAACCCTTAGGTCATTCTGACCTAGATTGGTGGGTTGCGCCGCTTTGCGGCTTTCTCTGGAATTGGGCTTTGAAGGCCGCCTTTTTTCCCTTCTGTTTAGAAAGGACACGTGTCAGGTGGTGATTGGTCCTGTTTGGACCTCTCCGGGTTGCCACGTGTCAGCTTCTTATTGGGCCACGTGGCTTGGGGTTTTACCCAAATTATTTACCCCTCACAGGGGTCACGTGGCATGCCACGTGGAGCCTGTGACACGTCAAGCTTTTATTGGTGAACAATTTTTAAGGTATCAAAAGTTCCTAAGTTAATCAATCCACTTTTTAAAACTAACCACACAGCCGCCTAGGGGCATGAGGCCAGCCGGTTTGTTAGTTGTCGCATGCAATTAACCAGTTAGGCAAAATCAAAGCATATATATAGCAAAAACCAAAGAATCTCAAATTAAAAATTGAAGCAAAATTGAAACAAGACCGACTCACTCGGCTACTTCATAAATAAAACCCGACCTGAAAGACGGGAGAGATTTTCAAACCGGATCTACGTCCTGGAGAATTAAAAGATTGTTGATAAATACAAACATGAATATGCGTGCCAGCCGGAAATGCAAACGGCTTAAGACCAAAGAGAAAGAATTAAAAGCTAATCTTACTAAGGCGGGGCCACCGACGCGCTTTTCCCAAGCTGAGGTAAAGTAGAGTTCACCTGTGCTTCCTCTACCTCGTTCTCTTTCTCTCCCTCCCCCTCGCCCTGAACCGACTCCTCAACGTTTGAGGCCTCCCTATTCATCCATTCCTCAAACGGCTCAAGCTCCGGCTTCCCCTCCGCCCTTGTTGTGAGAACAAGATATGCATATTGGTATCTTGAGGCAAAGACACCCTATTCGGTTCCCGAATGCACAAGGTCTCATGCCATCTTCATCTGGTCTTCGCTGTCTTATTCATTCTCCTCAATGAGGCGGCTTTGCTCAGCCTTAAGAGCCATTTGGTAATTGGAGTGGGAAGCCACCAGTTCATTCTTCAGGCGGTCGACGTCTGCTCGAAGAGTGGTGTTCTCCTTGTTAGCGCCCTCCAAAGCCTTAATGTCCGACTGAGCATTCTTGAGTGTTGCCTCAAAGTCGGAGGATTTCTTGTTTGCCTCATCCAGCGCAGCCGTCAGACTTCTGATGGAGTCCGCCTGCGTCAGAAACTCAACCTTAGTCTCAAGTTCATTTATTGTACATTGATACTGGGCAATGTCGGCGGACTCATTCGCCCTTATTTTGGCCTTCCTTACCTCTTCCTGTTTGCGGGCGTACAGCTTTTTCAGCCCATCTACTCTCAGCATCGCCTGTATTGCACAAACGACATGTTAGAAATACAACCACCATTATATTAAAAAGTATCTGATAGTTAAGTTAAGCTACCTCAGACAGCAAGGTAAGGATGCATTCAACATTGAACGTATGCACCCCAAGAATGGCCTCCTTATCCTCCTTTTATATTGACCTCAGCATGGTCTTGGAGAACTGCTTCACATCTGGCCATCTAGGGCATAGATATGCAGCATAAGGTAGATTTGGTGAGAAAACAACATAGGCGCCACTGACAGGATCTAGTCGTATCACCTAATCAAAAGTAATTCCTAAAACCACTAACTAAAACATATAGATAGGGAAGTAAGGTCGAATCCACAGGGAAACAATGTTCTTTTATTCCTAATTGATTATTATAACCTAAATTATCAAGTAACAAGTATGATTTTTATGTGAATTTATCTAAGAGAACTAATTAAACTAAGCAATTAAAACTAAGAGAATATCAATAAAATAAACACCTAGGGCATAGGTTTACCAATAAATAATATTGCGGAATGAAAGACAACAATCAATTATCAATGCATAAATTAATCAGATTATAAAGGGCTTTCACTACATATTACAATCACAGAATTAACCTATCGGTATTAAATCGCATCTCTCGAATCTTGACTTAACCATTTATAAATTAACCTGCCTATTGAAACTAAGCCTTAACATCAAGTCTCATCTGTCGAATCTCGAATCGATATTGCGTAACTCATACAATTAAACCAGCGCTAATCTAATTGCATATCAGTACATCAATCAATAAGAAATTAACCCAAAACATTAACAATCAACAATAATAAATCATCCCTTCATATTATTTATGAATCTCCAAGAACCCTAGTATTAAACTACTCGTGTATAATTAAAACTAAACTAAACAAAGCGAATAAAATAAACATAATAAAATGAATAAAGTAAACCTAAAATAATACGGAGAAATAACGAAAATCTAAAGGAATACGAATGAACAATGTAAATAAACAAACATATGATAATAAACATAAAACTAATGAAAAGCAATAAACCTAACAAAAGAAAACAAAACGTAAGGTAAAACTAATAAGAACTAAAAAGTCAACTTAAAACTACATCTCCAAAAATTAGTCCTACGAAAAAAAAAAAAAAAAAAATCAAACTCAGACTCAGACTAAAAATAAAGAAAACAGAAATAAGCTAACCTCCTAAAATCTCCCCACTAATGGGATTTAAATACTACAAAATCCACCAATAGTCAAATACATGAAACCGCCTTAACAGCTAACAAACCCCAAAAATATCAACTATGCCCAATTGGGCCCGTTATTCTATTTCGCCTATCATCTCTTAATTGGGCCGGAGCTGCTTGCTTCTTCGATTTCAGCAAATCTGGGCCATTGATTTTAGGCCCAACTTCTGTCCTTTGCTATTTACTTGTCCGTGATATTAAATTGGACTTCCTTACCAGTCGAGCCCTTATTCACCAAATTAAAATCCTTTAACTCAATCTTGGGCAAATAAATATACGATCCGACACTAATGTTTCGTAGTGGCTCAATAACCTCAGGAATCATCATAATTCTTCAAATTCCTACAAAATAATACCAACTCTACAAAAACACTAGAAAACATATATTAGTAATAAAAATAGCTCCGTAGAGCTCAAATAAGCACAAATATGACCGTGAAATGGGGAATAAAAATACATATAAAATAGACTCATCAGCCACCAATAGACTGCCGGCTACCTGAAGAGCCTTTTGACTGCTGTTGAGAGTGTAACTTGACCTGTATGGGCCAAGGAAGGTCAAAAGCAATGTCGAAGGGGTCATCCATACCTTGGGATGTTGGCTAAAGGCTCAGATTGCCTACATCCGCTTCAGAACCACTTGCAGCTTTGGATGGCTCATCACCCTTTGGCACCTCAGAGGCACCCGGCTTATTTATAAGGTCAAACCCAAGACCATAATTTTTGATACTCTTCCCACTGACGGTCAGACGACCCTTTCCAAGCGGGAGATCAGGAACCGACTGAGTGGAAGACACCTTCCTTGACTTGGCTAGGCTTTTAGCCTCGTCTTCAGGCTTTTGTTTGAACAGCTTGGAGAAGGACCTGGGAGGTCCTTTGTCTCCATCCTGAACAAAGAGATTTAAGTGTCAAAGGCACAGTTGGTTATAGCTGGCTATGTTAGAATGGAAAAATGAACAAAGACTATGGCAAGCGGATCATACCTAAGCCTTGGCAGCCTTCTTCTTCTCACCATTTTCCTTCCGTATCTGAGTTGCAGAACGGTCAAGCGTCTTGTCTTATGGAAGCATTCTCCTGGCGGTTTCTGCAAAGAAAAACCGTATGTCAGATCACTAAGCAAAATAAGAAAACTACAAGAAAAGGCGTAGAAACAATGGAGACGACATGAAAATGTCGAATGTCTATTCTACGTACGTTTGTCAATCATCGTGCTGAGACCACAGGCGGACAAAAAGTATTCGTCTCTCAGCCACTCATGCTTTGGTACCCAGTTTTTTGGTACACTTATTAATTCACCGGTTGACAGGGACATGGTGGTTAGCCCAAAAAATCCGCTTCTATTATTGCCTTATAGTTCTCATCTGGGATCCGGGGCATGGCACGCTTCTAACCCAGCAAATCCGGCTTCTTATTGTAATGACGGTATTCATGATTTTCCCACCGTTTGGGGGAGGAGATGAGATAAAACTTGTTCCTCCAACCAGTCCACTTAGGCGACTTATCTAAGGTCATGAGGTATTCGGGGTAAGTGGTTAGTGTGTACCACGCCCGCCAGCCGCCTGGGTTACGGCTAAGATAATCTTTGCAAAAGCCTCCCAGCCGGGATAGAGGCTCTGCATCTCACAGGCGGTGATGTAGCCCAAATTGTTGACTTAGGAGTTTGGGGTCAACTGTCACACGCCTAGGCCATATCCTCGAAGGATGGCCTTAATTGCATCGTGGGGGGGGGGGGAACGGAGGCCTACTAAGAACCTCATAGAAGCCAAAGTACTCATTGGCGTTCTGCTGATCATCCTTCCAAGCTATGGTGCCCAGTGCAGGCGGCACCCGGATGTCATAGTTCCCCCTAAGGGGACGCTTCATTTTAAAGTTCTCTAAACCCTGCTCTATGTATGCCCTGTCCCTGGCAGACACATGGATCTGAAACGGGTCCGTCTCATCACTCCATTTTTTACGCTCTTCCTCTTCACTATCCTCAAGTGGAGATAGCGAGTTACTGCTACTCTCTTCAGAGTCCGACCTAGAGGCGAACTCCCCACCATCTCTCTTAAAGTCAGACATAGAGCTGGCTTCTTCGTCGTCTCCCTGTTCGGACTCATCTCCTTGTTCTGATTCCTCCAAGATCCCATGACTTAGAGTGTTGGGTGCACTCGGGGAAGACTCTTCTTCTTGGTCATTCAGCATATCTATCTCCTGAAACGGAGTGACCTCGTCAGACGACACTTTTAAAGTGCCCTCTCTATAATCTAAGTCTTGTGCCGTCTGTTTAGTCCGAGCCATTGTGTCCTGTATAGACACACAGACGATCGGATTCGGGGAAGAACTAGGGTGGACCAAACACCCAGAGACAACACCCCCAATCCTAAACTCAGCCGTACCAGGAGACCGGCTGACTACTGTCCTAGGCTGTGCCGTGTGTGTGGATAGTGATTCCATTTATTCAATGTAATGTACACAAATGGTAAAAATGATGAAAGAGCTGAGAAGGGGAGAAACGGTTACCTAGATGAGATTTCTGGAAAGGGAAGATGTCAAGCGTTGACCGGCTGACTCAAACGGAACTAGCAGACGATATTTCTGGTTCAAAGAATCTCAGGCGGTTATCAGAGTCTCTCTCTAGAATTCCTTGCTCTTTCACTCTCTAAACTTTATAAATGGGTCAAAGATGAGGGAGGAGGAGAAGGGTAAAATGCCTTTAATAGAGGGGTAAAACTAGGGGCCCCATGTAATTTCCTCGGAAGGTTCACAGTTAAACAATAAAAGCTTGACACGTGTCACAGGTTCCACGTGGCATGCCACGTGACCCCTGTGAGGAGCAAATGATTTGGGTAAAAACCCTAAACCACGTGGCCCAATAAGAAGCTGACACATGGCAACCCAAGAGAGGTCCAAACAGGTTCAATCATCAGCTGACACGTGTCCTTCCTAATCAGAAGGGAAAAAGGCGGCCTTCAGGGCCAATTCCCGAGAAAGCTGCAAAGCGGCGCAGCCTACCAATCTAGGTCAGAATGACCTAAGGGCACATTTACCAATGACCCTATAAATAGGGAGATTTACCCCATTTTGGGGGCACGTTAATTTATTACAACACAATTAATTCTCTCACATCAGAGAAAACACCTGATCTCGGGATCCGAGAAGATGTACTCTTACCTTCCGCACTTTCTACATTACTTCGACCGGTTCTAACTTGATCGTCGGAGGCGGAACTCCTACCAACAGGAGCTTCCGTTGTTTTGCAAGTTCAGCCGGCAGGGAATCTAGTCTTGGTGACGTAACTCTCCCGTAGGACACAAAAAACCCCGAAACAAGTTTGGTGGGTGGTAATGGCAATGAGTTTGGAAATTTGTAACAAAAGTCTCATGATGACGTCCATGGTATTATGATAATGCAAAACTTTCTTAGCTTCATAAGATTCCATTATCACTGTGATTATGGTTGTATTGAGTGATGGTGAAAACTATGAAGAAAAACACATGCGGATTCTAGTTTCATTATAAAGAAAATTGGTACGGAGTATAAGACTTGTATTACACAATAATAATCCTTGCTTCATAAAAAGTGATTTCTTCGAACATTTTGTGGCACACAATCATTTATAATTAAATCAACATTGACATTTTCTAGTATTAATAATTAATAACTAAAATTTCTTGTACGTATTTGATTTATTGAGTGATGGTGAAAATTACGAAGAAAAACATATACTGGTTCTAGTTGCATTATAAAGAAAATTGGTACGGAATATAAGACTTGTGTTACACATTAATAATCCTTGCGTCATAAAAAGTAATTTCTCCGATCATTTTGTGGTACGCAATCATTTATAATTAAATCAACATTGATTTTCTAGTATATCCCTCTCATAGTTTTCAATAATTGACAATATTGCCAAACCATTCAACATTTCTTGAACGTATTAATAATTAATAACTAAAATTTCCTGTACATATTTGTTTTATTGAGCAATGGTGAAAACTATGAAGAAAAACACATGCGGGTTCTAGTTGCATTATGAAGAAAATTGGTAAGGAATATAAGACTTGTGTTACACAATAATAATCCCCTTCATAAAAAGTGATTTCTTCGATCATTTTGTGGCACACAATCATTTACAATTAAATCAACATTGATATTTTCTAGTATATCCCTCTCATAGTTTTCAATTGACAATATTGCCATACCATTCAACAGTTTTTGTACGTATTAATAATTAATAACTAAAATTTCTTGTACGTATTTGATTTGTAAACTTTAATTACCCAAATTGAACTGATAATTAATAATTAATAATTTTTACGTATTTAATTTGTAAACTTCTAATCTGTTTTATATAAGGACCTTTCTATCCATTACATTAGTAATTTTGTCAATTTAGCATGTTTATTGTGCGTCCAATAGTCCTAAGAGCTATTAATTCTTGCTGATGAACTAATTGAGTTGGGAATTTGTATAGCTTTTTGAGCGTAAGTGACTTGGTTATGCTTGTTTCCCTTGGTGAGTTGATTATGTTAGTCGTCGTAGTTTGAATGATTGAATTGCTATGCTTGGAGCCCCTAATTCCCCTAGTGCTTTTAGCTCTTTGTTAATCGTTTTATAATTGTTGGATTTTCTATTCCAATTATGTTTGACTTAGTTTATTGCTTTAATTGACTCAAATTAATGCCCTTAGTCCTTGTGATTCGATCCCTTGCTTGCCCCTATACTTGTATTGTATTAGGGTAGTAATTAAGGTGTCTATAAGTATTGTTTGACTAGGAGGAGATACTAACGACCTATTTTTCCTACCTCTTGTCAAAATAGCGCACAAGTATAATGTGTAATTTTGGTTATTAATAGTAATATTTCTAAACTTATATTAGTATGAAGTAATTTTTGTTAAAGATTTGATATATTATGAACTACAAGTATGCATTGAAACATATTCAACATGGTCATATACATGATTTTGTTCTATTCTTATACTCTGATAGTCTGATCCGTATTACTTGTATTTATCAAAGACGATTAAAATTGAAGTTTAAACAATTTAAGCTAACTTTTAACTTTTTTCAGGCTAAGTTTTAACCTGGTATAAATTTAAAATATATAGGCAATGAAAAGTTTTTAAGTGTGATATTATAATTTTGGCTCTTGAGATTTCAATTTTACTCATTTAAATTAGTTAACTATATCGATAAAGTATAACTTACTTTTATTTAAATTGGGTAAACTTTTATTTATTTATTTATTTATTTATTTTGGTGTAATTTTAAGTTATTTTAGGACAACTGCTTTTCAACAAATGTACATTATTTATTTATTTATTTACCCCCAATTTTTTTTAGAAGTTTATGTTTTTGCTTTGATTAGTTGATTACACAAATTCTTGATTAAGGTGGACTTTCATTAAATTTTTGTAAGACGAGATAAAGTTACCCTAAAAGTATTTAAAGTTACTCCAAAAGTTACCATTTTCCTAACATAAATTTTACCTTTAAAAAACACGTACTCCCTCCGTCTCATAATACTTGACACAGTTTTCATTTTCGTCCGTTCCACAATACTTGACACGTTACTAAAAATGGAATGGGACCACTAATAAAAAAAAAAAAAAAAAATTGCCACATTTTCTCTCTCCTCACCTACCCCACTCCCACCTCACTTTGGTGTTTTCTTACAATACAAAAATACAAAAGAGAATCTTTTATACAATAAACAAATATTTTAAATGACCCACTTGTAGTTTTTTTTAAACTACGTGTCAACCTCAACGTCCCAAGTATTATGGGACGGGGTGAATATAATGTACTCCATTCGTCCCACAATATAGTACCTATTTTCCTATTTTGGAGACCCAAAATGTTATTTCTATTTCTATATTTGGATAGTATGAAGACCATTATACCCTTATTTTTTTAACTTTATTCATTGAACTTCCTAATTTACCCTTAAATTATCCATTTGTATTGTACTTTTTTCCACTTTCTCTCTCTAACTTTTATCCACAATTGTACTTTTCACTTTTTCTCTCTTAAATTATCCACTTGCCTTGTACTTTTGTCTAACTCTTGTCTAGAATTTTTCCACTTTTAATGTACTTTTTCCACTTCTCCTCCCATTTCTTAAATACCGTGAAAAAAACACAGTAGAAACTATATTATGGGACGGAGGGAGTATTAGATTAATCATATTAGCTTTCATAGCATGTATGTAATAGAAATTACACATTAAAATAGAATCAAACTCATTACAAATTAAAAGTTACCTTTAAAGGGATTAATGCATGTTAATTACCATAAAAATTATTAAAGTTACCTTTATATTGACCGTTTTATAATAAAATTAATTAACGTAAGTCCGCCTTATACAAGACTTATTGAATTGATTATTATGTACTTAATTACTATTTTCTCAAAATGGTGCATGGGCTGCCACATTTTCTTGATTTCATTTAAATACTACACCAATGAAAGCACATATCTATTCAACTTAATACCTTACCTTATACTCCTGTGTCAAAAAAGAAACAAAAAAAAAAACCTTATACACATTAAAATAGCCACACAAACATAAACCATGGCATATTGATCTCCCTCCGGAGCTCCTCAATCTTGTAGCCACCGGCTTTGACACCCCATCTGACACTCGTCATTTTCGTTCCGTCTGTTCCACGTGACAGTCCGCCACCCCTCCAACACTACCCATATTTTTTCCTCCTGTAAAATTCCTTAACTCTAACGTCCATCACTGTGACCTCCGACTCACCAAGCACACATTTTCCCATCTTTCTGCCTCCTTTGACAACGATGATGGCCCCGGGTGGCTAATCAAGACCGAGGAGCACAACCCGGGGGCGGTCCATTTGTTCAACCCTTTCTCTAGGACCCTCATCAAACAGTTAGCTCCATATCTTCCTAGGAAGTTGGATCTAACCAACATTAAAATCAAGGAGTTGGCTTGTGAGTATGTCTTACGTAACGTTAGTAATCCTAGTACAAAAAACATGGATTACTATAACATAGAGCAACAAAAGGTAGCTTTTACCTTCCTTAATAATTCTAATAATGTTAAAGATTATGTTATTTTGTGTACACATAACACGGGTAAGTTAATCATGTACCGGTCCAAAGTCGAACTATGGACATTTTTGGATGATTACACTTTAGGTTATGATGATCGGAGCATATTTGTTAATGATTGGTCGTTAAACTACGTGGATGTAGTAGAGTTCGATGGTACATTTTATGTTGTTACCAACTCAGGTAGGACCATAGCCATTAAGGTTGTTGATTCTTCCGTTAAAGTAACATTGCTAAATATTGCTATTATTGGTGGCGATAAAAAATGTTTGATAAAAGTAGTTAATGATCTATTAATAATAGACTTGTATACCGATATCATTCCTAAAATGATAAAGGTACACGGGATTGAGATTTTCAAGCTCGATAAAGAGAAACAAAAGTGGGATTTGGTTAAGAATTTAGAGGGACATGCAATTTTTTTGAGCAACCACTCTTCATTTTCCGCTATTGGTTTAAAAGGGTGCAAAGGTAATTGCATATACTTTCATTTTAAGAACTTAGACAATAAGGATTCATGTTATTCGGAGATTAAAGTGGGAGATTTGGATAAAATGGATGATTTTGAGTGGAAATGTGATGAAGTTGGTGTTTTTGATTTAGAAAAGGGAATTTTTGGACCGTTGGAAGAGTACTTGGATGATTCTCAGCTATTATCTTGGCCTCCACCAAGTTGGGTTACTTTGGCTCGTGTGACATGAAGTCTTCAATCTTCGTTCTTTGATTACTTTCATTTAGAGTTTCTTAAATGGACTCCGATGCAGAGCTGAGGTAGATGTATTCGCTAATAATTTTTTTTCCCCCTCATTTTATAATTTTAAGTTGAGGATAAAAAAAATAAAATGAGTACGTAAGAAGCCGGGTGCATTTAGCTTCCGTTTTTGATAAAGAATGTAGACTCTAATTAATCTAGATTTCTCTCTTTCTTTCTGTTTTTCCCCTCTATTTTCTTAAGGAAAATTGTCAGCAATAATACGACTTTTACCAGATATTTTAAAAATAAAACGACTTTTTGATATTCCCCAATAAAACAATTTTTGTCCACATGAATGATTCGTTGATATTGATGTTGAGTTTGTTGACACTAATTAAAAATATAGTTTGAATCATAGGTTTGCCGTTGTTGGCCGATAAGTCCAAGCAAACGGCTAGTTAATCAGTTTTCTATCTAATAATGTTAGGAAAATAATTCACATATATGAGTTAGGACTAATTATCCCACATTATAAATTAATAAATAATTACAAAGTTACGAAGTATAAGGTTGGTGAACCACTCCACCTATCACCAATTAATTCGAAATGGTTAATCCGTACAATGCTTAATCTCTTAGGTTAAGATATGCATTTTGAAAGTGCCTGTGAAAATAATAGCATTTTGAAGTAATTTTTCAGCATGTTGTGGTCTGGCCCATACAACTAAATTCTGCTAAACCAACAGGGTCTGAGGACCTTATTATGCCATATTGCAATAAGTCTTAGCTGCACCTTATAAAGTGAACATTTAGTAAAAAAAAATATGAACACGTAAATAAAATGAACATTAATTAAGTAATAAAAAATGAACATGTAAAGTAAAATAAACATTTAGTACTAAAAAGTGAATACGTTAAAAAAATGATCATTTTATACATTAATAATGAACATGATTATGAGCACCAAAAAATAAATAATGAACATGATTATCATATAATCATAGGATTGTTGGACCACCATCTTAAAAAATATGAACACTTAGTAAAAAATTATGAACACATAAAAAAATGAACATTTAGTAATACAAAATAAACACGTATAAAAATTAACATTCTGTAATAAAAAGTGAACATGCTAAAAAAGAAATATGAACATTTAGTATATTAATCAAAGATGAACATTTATCATAGAATTATATAATGACCATACCTAATAAAATGAACATGTAATTATTAGCAAAAATTAAAGATAAAATAAATCGTTAAAATATGTTCATTTGTTATGTACTATATGTTCATTTTTAGTGTACTAAGTGTTCATTTTATACTAAATGTTCATTTTTAAAGTACTACGTGCTCATTATTTTTTACAGAAATAATACACAAGTTCGATTATTGTAATTATTTTAACTCTAAAAATTTGAATATCCATCTTAAATCTAATTTTGGTTCATTACAGAGAAAACAATTATTGATTTGTAAAATGATTGGGAATCAAAAGGCTACAAAAAAAATAAAAAATAAAAATAGAAATAAAAAGAGAGAGAGGGGGGAAAGAGAAAATGACTACAATCAATTGATGATATTCATCACAAATTAAACAATTTAATTGATATTCAATACAAAATAAGCAATTCAAAATATATACATCACAAACTCATAAAAAATTTCAAATAATCAAACAATAAATCATCATAATCAACGAAATCATACAAATTACAATTACAAATTGACAAAATCTAACCTCCATTTGTTTTCTTTGACCTTCAGCTTTCTCTCTCCTCCATTTTTTTCTTTTCTCTTAAATAATAAAGTCAATTGATTGTTACTAAAACTCATAGATTTAAAAAGAGAGGAGTATATCCATTAAAACATGAATCACAAACTCTAAAAATTATAAAATCGAAGAAAAATCTAATGGGAAGAATGTTGAGGAAGAAAGGAGGAGGATAAACAAATCTTGCATTTTGTTAGAAATTTGCTATGTTTTGATGGTGGTATAACTAGCTTAGCTGCACCACTATGCAGCTAAGAATTTGCGTGCATATTGGTTTATGTTCGAAATACTAGATGGCCCAAAGTTAGAGTAAGTAATAAAAGATGATAATCCCTCGCAGCCCATTTTATTTTAGTTACAGTATTAAATTAATTTGAGAAAGTAGAATAGTACAATAAAGAGGGTTAGATCTTGGTGGGATTATTCAAACAAACTTACATCCCTCTTTTTCCTGGTTTACACTAATTTATTGTGAGACCTTCTCACAACAGCTTATTATTAGAAGTTTAAAAATTGTTTATTTTTGTTGGGCAAATTCTATGGGTAGAGAGAATGAAAGGGGAAAGGGTTTTGATTGGGGTCGTGCAATTGGATTTGGTGGGAAAATTGTGGGAGGGTAGGGGGGTTAAGAGGAGGACTTATTTTAATGAGTCACGTGACTGTCATTGTCGGATTCTGACGTTGATTTGCTTGAAAATTGGACCAGGTTCATTTTGTGACATTTTATATATAAGGACTTTTTTCACAAAAGAGACCACATAAAAGGTACTATTTGACTATTTTTCCTAATTACTATGCTCTTTTTTTTTTTTTTGTTGTCCCAATGCATTAAGAATTCTCTTAAGAGAAAGATTAATTTTTTTTCCCTTACCTTATAAATGTAGATAAGTCTACGTTTAATTCACCTTAGTACTTTATTATTTATTTCATAATAGATCAAAATCAGAATATATAAGTTCATATCATACTTCATCGTTTTATGTGCGAATTTTTATTGTTAAATATCCTTATATATGTAATGTAAAAAAAAAAGTGAAATTAACATATTAATGCAAATTTATTAAGACCTTGTTTGATATATTTTTTTCTTCATAATATTATGTTAATATTAAGTTAAATCAGATAATAAATTCATTATCAGAAAAATTAAGTTTACATTAAATTAGATAAGCATAAATAAAATGATCTAGCTTTACAAAGGAGTATGATAAAAGACTTTTGATGACATAATGCCTTGCGTTAGCATCTCCCATTCCTCAAATATGTGTTCATATAAAAGGAATTACATCACCTTGCATATTCCTAAACTTTATAGGTCATATTTCCACTTTCCCAATGAACCCAGCCACCCCAAGTTAATTGGAAGGATTTAAATGTACTATAATACTCTTTTTATAAGCATTCCTATAAGAAAGGATTTTTTTTTAGATTAAATAAAAATCTCCATTAGATATTAATACAAATTGATCGCAAAATTTGAATACGATTCCAAAATTCCTTTGATCGAATCTATTCCCTCCGTCCCAAATTATTTCTAAATCGAATCTTCACTACTGAACTTAGTTACATTTTGAAAAATAAATAAATAAATAATAATAATAATAATAATAATAAAAATAAAAAAAAAATAAAAAAAAGGAGAAGAAATTTTGGCCATTGTTTTGGCGCCTTAAAAATATAATTATAAACATATAAAAGAGAAAATCCAACATTTTTTTTAGTCATCCTCTTCCCAAACTTCATCTTCTCTCTTGCAGATGTATAGAACAATCTAACCAAATCACCATTTTTTTATTTTCTCTCTCCTGAATCTTCTCCACCATCTTAGCAATGTCCCTCACCACCAAAATTCCAACTTTACCCTCATTCAATTGCTCTTGTTCTAACACAATCTCCAATAAACTCAATAACCCAACTCAAAAATCATCTCTTTCCACCCTAAAACCCCTAAATTTCTCCAATTTCTCTGTAAAAATTTCAAATTTAGGTCAAAAACCCATCTCAAAATTCACCTCATTTTGCCATTTATATCCATACCCAGATGAAATTCAAGGAATTTCCCCCATTTCATCATCTGGGGTTGTTTCTTCGAGGTTGTCGAGGTTGGTTACCGAGTTCCGGTCTCTTCCGGAACCGATTGATAGGGTTAAGAGGCTTTTAGATTACGCCGCGGTTTTGCCTCGACTCGGTGAGTCGACTCGGTCGCCGGAGAACCGAGTTCCTGGTTGCGCCGCCCAGGTTTGGCTGGAAGTGGTGGTTGATGAGGTGGGGAGGATGAGATTTGGGGCTGATAGTGATTCGGAGATTACTAAAGGGTTTTGTTCTTGTCTCATTTTTCTGCTTGATGGTGCTTTTCCTGAGGATGTTTTAAAGGTATGATATAATATATCCTTGATTTTTCATTTATAGTGTCTTCTTTTGGTTTATTTTTTGTTGAAATATTGTTGATAATAACTAGGAAATGTTGTAAAATACTCCAATTTAATTTCATTTATGCTGAATTAACTATTTTTAGCTGGATTTTGGTAAATCAAATCAAGGGTTAATTTGAGGATATGGACAATTTTCATAATTATCATCGATGTTATTAGAGATTAAACTATGGATTTAAGCCCCGGAATTTGGCTAAAATAAGCATTATTAATTTAAATGGTTTCAAAAGGTATGAAATATTGAAAAGGTAAATTAGTGGTGAAAGTGTCTATATTGAAGGTCATAATTGACATATTATCCTGTTAGTAGAGGAAAATGATATGTGTAGCCCGATTGACGCGTGATTTTGTCATGAGCTTCAAATTTTGTTTTAGTGCAGGATTGTTTGGTGGGGTTTATAATTACTCATAAATCATAATTATGATTGTCTATCTTTTGCTTAGTAGATGTTTTAAGGTTTGTACCTTTTAATTATGGCCCTTGATTCAGCAATCACAGCACCAGAAAAGAAATTGTTTTTTGCGGGGTTGGGTTTATTACTGAATAATTTATTCTTGTTGGTTCATGATTAATGAAATAAGCTAAATGGTTTGGTGCATGTTGTGCTGTGCAAAGATATGCTTAGATTCTTTTAAGGATATCCTAACTGTCCTTTTCATCTTTATAAAATGTTTTTCTTTTGGCACCCAATTTAGGGGTGGTGCGCAAGATTTGGGATCAAATTGTGTCTGTGATTAAAAAAAAAAAAAAAAAAAAAAAAACTCTGTCAATTATGTATCGAATCATGTGGCAATATTTCGCATTTGCACAAGTCAAGACATCTTATGATCATGCCTAATCACAAAAAGTTGGGGGAAAAAGCCTACTTGATCTTTATGGTGATGTTTGTTGTTTGAAGGTGAAAGCAGAGGATTTGGCAGACATGAACGTGGGCCTCCCGGTTCGTTCGAGAGTAAATAGTTGGAATAATGTGTTGATGAGTATTCAGGAGAGAACTAAGGGAGTGTTTGATATAGGGATTTTATAGGGATGGAAACGGAATCATATTAGCGTTTCCGTTACATTGTGTTTGGTTACGGACTAAAGTAACACAAACCGTTAGTTAGGGGTAACCCAATCCACCCAATTGTTTCCCCTGTAATAGGTGAGGAAACAAATCCCCTTTCCTTCCTCTAACACAAAAAATAAAGAAAATTCTTGTCTCTCCTCTTCACTTGCTTGATAATTCTTTGAAAATTCCCAAAAAATTTCGACGATTCTACGAGGAAGATGCAATTCTCCAGATCTTACTCCTAAATTTTTGATTTTCTTCTGCAAATCTTCAGAAATTATCACAGGTTTGCTATCTTCATTTCTCTCATTCAATTTCTAGGGTTCATGTAGTATCAATTTTTGCGTTTTTGGTATGAATTTATTACTTGCGTGTTCAATTGCAACTTCAGAAAGTTGTTTTCGTTCAATTTCTAGGGTTCATGTAGTATCAATTTTTGCGTTTTTTGGTATGAATTTATAACTTGCGTGTTCAATTGCAATCTTAGAAAGTTGTTTTTGTTTGATTTTTGATTGTATTATTATAATTACTTCAAGTTTCAGCTACGAATGTTATTGTTTTAAGCTTCAATTCATTTGAAATTATTTAACAAACATTGGAGTTTTGTATAATTTCTTCATTTGGTAATTATATCTATGTTATGAATGTAATAGATTATTGGTGGTGCTGAACATGTCTTATTTTGCTCCATATGTATGCATTACGATGAGAAAGTTGCTGCTACTATTTTGAGTATATAGACCATGGTTTTCTGGTGCTATACATGTCTTATTTTGCTCCATATGTGTATGCATTACAGTGAGAAAGTTACTGCTACTATTTTGAGTATATAGACCATGGTTTTTTGCTTAATTTTGCTTGTTTCTTGAGTAGTTTACTCCTCATGATTTGGTTGACAATATTTGTTATTTGATTAACTAGAGATTGATATAACTATTGTTTTGCCATTTATCAGGTTCAATTGCCATTTATTTTATGTGTTTCTTGTACAATGCCTCGACTTATGCATTCTATAAGGAAGAAAAAGCTAAAACAAATACAAATAGTAATTGCAATGGTTATTATTATGTTGATGATGTATTGGATGTGGTATATAATTAGCGTTGTTACAATAAGGGGGGTTCAAATAAAAGATAGGAAAAGAAACAAAAAATTGTTACGGATGTTAGTATTGAGAGGGCTTTATAGGAGAGTGATGTGAAATGCAAGAGTGAGCTTCGCGTTAATAGAAAAACTTTCAATATTATTTGTGAGATGCTTAGAGACATTGGGGGTTTGAGTGGAACAAAAAACATGTCGCTTCAAGAGATAGTAGCCATGTTTTTATACACGTTGGCTCATCATAAGAAGAATAGGTCTATTGGACATTACTTCTATAGAAGTGGAGAAACCGTGAGCAGGCAATTTCACCTTTGTCTAAGGGCTTTTCTCAAGTTGCATGAAGTACTACTTTACAATCCCACACAAATATTGGATGATTGTGAAGATGAAAGGTGGAAATCCTTCAAGGTATTGATATTTTCAAAGCCCCTAAATTTTGCTAGGATTTTCTTATTTTTGCTTGTTTGTAAGTAATATTTTTTCCTATTTTTGTAGAATTGTTTAGGGGCATTAGATGGGACTTACATTAATGTAAATGTGCCTTCAAAAGAACGACCAAAGTATAGAACAAGAAAAGGAACGATTGCTATGAATGTATTGGGTGTTTGTGCACCTAATATGCAATTTATTTATGTTCTTCCTGGTTGGGAAGACTCGGCCCATGATATGCGTGTACTTCGAAATGCTCTTTCTAGACCAAACGGTTTTAGAGTACCTTGAGGTAAGTGAAGGCCTTTTTTGTGAGTGTATATGTTTTATTAGTTTTGGTTGGAAGTAATTATTTTTTTTCAATAACTTTGAAGGTAATTATTATTTGGCTGATGCGGGGTATACGAATTGTGAGGGTTTTCTTGCTCCATATAGAGGTCAAAGATACCATTTAAAAGAATGTTTTATTAGTGTGTTTTTATGTATTGTTGTAATCCCATCATTCTCAATTCAAGATTAGTTAATCCTATTATGTTGTTTTGATTGTAAAGTTTGGTGTACATTGATCTTGTATTGAAACATAAGGCTTCATTGGTCTAGATTTACTATTAGGATTTTGTCTTGGACATTATATTTTCTAGTTTTCATTGATTTGTACTAGTGCATTGCCTTCATGGTTATAGGCTAGGAAATTTTGCTAAGGCACTTTAATACTGATGCATCTTAGGCACTCCAGCCTCTTTTGACACAATTGATGGATCTTTGGGTGCTAATTAAATTTATGTACCTTTTAAATCTATTGTTGAAAAAAAAACTCATTAATCTCATAATCTCGATAATTTTACTCTTAAGTCTTGATATCTCATAACCTCTACTAGTCTGCTTGTTATCCTTTCAGTCTTTATTGCATCTGTACCACTACCTTTTTTATGGTGTTATGTTTTTGTATGTTAACATTTTCAATGGTGATTGTTAAATGATGTCTTTATTTTAAAAAAATCAGCATTAGGTCAGTAGTAGCTTCAATTGATTTTTGGTTTTTTATTTTTTGTTTTTAATTTTTCAGATGGAGGCTAGTCAAGCTAAGGGTGAGGCAAGCAATCAAGGTAGAGGTAAAAATAAAAGGTATTGGACGTATGAAGCTCAGCATCTTCTATCAAGCTCCAACTAATATGAAGAAACAATATGCAATTGATCTTCTTAAGAAGAAGTAGAAAGTTTTGTCCTAAGTTGTTGTTATTGGAGTTAATGTTTTAATGGTTTTTAAATGCTTTTTTTTTATTATTATTATTATTATTATTTTTTTTAGAATACTAGAATTTCAATGCTTTTGTAGTCAACAACTTATGTGACTTTGCCTATATATCTAGCATATGATATATTATGGTAATCGGTTCAAAAAATATATATATGTATATTATGGTAATTAGTGTTGCTCTACATTGTATAATGTATATCAAAAGTTAGCCAAGACATCAAAAATTAGAAGGAAAACTATTTGTTTCCAAGTTATCTATGCCAAACAAGAGGAAAGGGATTGATTACAATTATTTACGTTTCCTTAGTAATACCAAACAACTAGTAAGGGTAACACTATATATTACCCTTTCCCCTTCTAATTTGTTTCCATTCCCTTACATTTACTAATTTGATACCAAACACCCCCTAAGTGTTTCCTTGTGGAGAAAGATCAGGAAGCATGCCAATTAGATTCATTGAATACTTTTCTTCCTTTGGTTGTCCCTGCTGATAGTGTGGTTGCTAAAGGTAATCATTTCTGCAACTCATGTCATTGAAAATATGGCATCTTGATATTTACGTTCCTGTCCTTCATCTTTCTTTGCGCCGCATCAATGCACATACTGACATACCGAATGATCCAAAATTTAAAGTTAAGTTTTAGAAGCCGCCTTTGATTTGTTTATTGTTTTTGTTTAACTTGCTAATGTATGTGTATGAATTCAAAGTAGCAACAATTATGATCCACTCCCTTTGTTGGAATGACTAGTCACTTTATTTTGCAATGTCTGAAAGCACACCTAAATGTAGTGGTGGAGACGGTAGAGAGTATATTGGCGTTTTTTTTTTACTTGTTTCCAGACTGAGGGAGTAGTTGGTATTGAAAAGTTGACATGGATGTATTGGCTTGTACTAGATACAATAATCCAATACAAATTTGTTATCAGTGATATAGTGTGCTGAAAATTGATATTCAAACTTTCGCAGTAAGCTGGTGACAAATCACTATTGCTACTATTGTTTATTCATGGATGGTAATGGTTTAGACTTTAGCGCGATCACTTCAAAATTCCCACCAATGTTAATAGGAAAAATAATACTACACTAGTTTGAATCCTCAAAGTTAGGAAGCTCAAGACAATGAATTAAAATGCTTCAAAAGAATACTAAATTCATATCTTTCGGGAAAAACAAATAATTATGGGCAAAGCATACTGTAAGATAAGGTTCTGCCTTGAAAAGAAGCTTTAGCCTTAAGGATGATACAGACCATAAGGTGATTTAGGTTTGTATAGGATTAATTAATTATATCCGAGTCAGGGAAAGATAGGTTATTCAGCTTTCTAGGCGTTGCTTGAGGAACATAATTTAAACAAAGGCTTTCCAATTCTCAATTTTGCTTAGCTTTGTGACAAGCTTGCTGTCAATGATTGTTTGACACTTTCCTTAGTTGCTAGGCTGTTTACCTATTCGGAAGTTACTTCTTTTAAGGGCTAACATTAGATGATTAGTCCTAATAACCATAGTAGATGTCAGCGGTCAGCCTAATATTCTTTGGAAGATTTGGTTTCACAAAATGCGGTGTTGATGTTTAGTGGTTGGACTGATTCGATTTTGGATCTATCTGCTTGACTAAAATTGTTAATCCATCGCTGCTACATTTGTAAAGAAGACAAATTAAATGCTTGAAACTGAATGTACCTGATGACTTCAAGCCCTTGAAAGCCTATTTGCTGTGTTATTCACATGTCTCTTGAGTCTTGACTGGAGTTTGTTGCCTTTCTCGATTGCAGATGAAGTTTGTGTTAATTGTTGATAGTCTTAAAGATATCTGAAAGGGAGATTATGGTTCATTGCTAAGCTTTGTACAGACTGAGGCCTTAGAATTGGTCTCATGGAAGCTTCAGCTGATTTAAGTTGATTGTCTAGTTCCATGTAATTAGCCGTGATTAGCGTGATCTAATCAGTTTTGTAAAAACCTTGTTTTGGTCCTGTATTCTAGGTTTAGAAAATATAACTACTTTGTACCATTGGCATTTACTATGGATTCGAATCAATTACAGAAATTAAAATGACAGGATGCTTTCACATAATTACATCTCTACATAATTAAATTCACAAGTACATGAATGATAATCATATACTTCGTAAGAAGAATATCTATGCAAAATAAGTTACTGAATATTATTGTGATGAAACTGTTATCTGAGTTCATTTGCTCAGGCTGCTCTGTATGGATTTCTGTATTGGATTGTAATTTTTGCTCTGGAATAGTTTTTATTGCGGTGGTATATTGAATGCATTTGTCATTCCTTCACCCCCTTCTGCCCTCTCCCCAGCTTCCTAAGTTGGGGCTACAAGAATGCTAAGAATGATGTCAGATAGGCATGGACTCAAGTGGATGCAGCTAGACCTAATACTCTCCGAAAAATGACCCTACACTCATTATGAACTTCCCGCACCAGAAACATACCTAGCTAACTGCTTGAATTATGTACAAGTTCGCAGCTCTTCTTGCAATCGATCCCCTAGAGGGTACTTTTTTTTTTTTTTTTTTTTTTTACCATAGTTCCGTAGACATGACCTCAATTCAAACTGCAATGACAATTCCTTAGACTTCCACAATTCTCCGCAGCACTTTTGCTTTCTGGTGCAGCATCGTAGCACATATCATAATAATAGGTGTTATTTGCGGTTTCCCTCCATAGTTGATCTGCTTGGCTGACAGGTGCATAACAAAACTTCATCCTTATGCCTCTCTCCGTCTTCCTCCAGCTATAATATACAGACGGTCCATTTTCGCTCCTAATAACAGGAACAGCTACAATGTATATCAGTATATTAGTTGATAATTTTAATGTACTACACACTATTATTCATCTATACAATGCATCGTCTGAATATAAGGAGTACCTTATAGAAACATAGTACAAGTCTGCGATGTGTTATATTTGTGTAATTTCCATCCTCCTTTTCAAGTGATACATTGCAGGTGTCCTCCACGAGATCACGACTGCAGCAACTATTGTTTCATGCAACCCCTACCCAAACAAGATCACATAACTCAAATGTAGCTAAAAAATTCATTACCATTAAGTCCATTATTGTAATTTATGTAAGGTTATATCAAAGCAGGTTGTCACGGGACGAGCGCTGATCGTCCGTGTGGCGCCCGAATCCACAAGGCTTGATCCAGGCCAGTCTTTCCCATATGCACAACAAGCTAATAAATAGAGGAAACAACACGTTACGACATTAACCTGCACCAAAAATACATGCATCATTAGGCACACAGACATAGAAAGGTTGCCTCATATGAGACTTGTTGTGCCATAACATCGGGAAAACTGTTAGCACATGATAGTACGCTTGATACACCACGACTCAACAAATTGTGACCAACAAATTGTAAAAGAAAAGTCCAATTTAGGTAATGAAGCCGTCTAGTGTTACACACGCCTCCAAATATTCAAGCAAAGATATGTCGTTGACTTGATGGCAGTTGTGACCAACTGTCATCTTCTGTTTTGTGCGGTCCATATAAAAAGTACGGACTAGTAATGGAGGAATCTTATTAATGCATGCATGCGTAACTAACAAGAATAATGCAAAATATACTCTTACTTCCACCATTTTTCTTCATCTAAAAACTCTTTCTTTTTCTTCAACTTTTTTTTTGTGAAAAATAGGTAGGCAGAAATAAGGTTGTGTTGTTGATCTTTGTAGTGCCATAATAATTAGTCTTTTGCCTTGGATTAGTTTGGTGAAATAAAATATTTTTCTAATAATTGTATATTTATACTTTTGATTACACATTTTGGAAGAGAGGCATAATTGCATAGATACAGTATTAATTGATAAACTTACCGCCCCACTTTATATATAAGCTTCTAAAATAGATGAGACATAATTATTTGTTAGAAAGGAATTAACCAAGATACAACAAACCCACACAAACAGATTACGTTCTTATTAGAGTTCTATTTCTAATCAGCTTTGTATATCATTGTAAACTCAAGATGTCTGAGTTCTTACCTTTAGATCACAATCTACTAAATGAAACTACTTCATATTAAATTATTTTTTAAGCAAAATGTAAGGCAAAAATTTTGTTTGTCATTTGTCTTGTGTAATCCATCTATTTGATATACCCAAGTTAATTTTTTTTAGGGAAATTTTAGCAAAAATTATTGCAAATCAAGCTCCTCTAAAGCAATCATACTTTGCAGTAACGAGTTGTTCATACTTCATACATATTACGTAGTAGATTAGAACAACCTCTAACATCTCATCTTGCTACTAGATGGGCTATTTTATTTTCTGTAAGTCTAACATAATTAAAAACAACCGCCTTAATAGACATAGTGAGATTTCAGATGTCTTCGTATCAAGAAAATAGGAGAGAAACCAACCACTTCTTTGTTAAAAAAATTAACAACCATCATTGTATCACTTTCTACCTTCGTGCATAGCTAAATCACCTCACTACAGAGATCCCAAATTTCGTCGCACCCACCTTCTCCATTATCTCTGGTAGCCAATAGATCTATATTCTCTTCATAGCAGTCATGAACTCTATTTGTAGTAATAATACCCTTGCCACATAGACCAAACAAAAGGCAATAATTGGCTAAAACATGGTGTCCAACCTAATGACCAAATCAGAGTATGACACGTGACACATGAAAGTTGTTGAAATGAGGAAAGGTTAAAAGCCCATGAAAGTGAGACAATCTCGTAAAATGGCGCAACCCCTCATACATGTCACTCATGTATTGTGCAGCCAATCCACTACTAGAAATAGGCTAAATTCCGACGGACTGCAATTCCCTCGGAAAATTCAAAATTTTCGGCGGAAATTGGATTTGTAGGAAAAATCCGTCGGAACAGAAATTTTCCGACGGATTTTAATTCCGAAGGAATTAATTCCGTCAAAACGTTACAGCAAATTAAAAAAAAAAACTTTGAGTTTTCTGCGTTTTTTGCGACAGAAAACAGAATCAAACAAGAAGAGAGAGAAAGGGAGAAAGAGAAAGAGAGAAGGAGAAAGGGAAAAGGGGACCTCGCCTCCACCACCAGCCGCCGCTTGGACGCCGCCGGTGTAGGTAAGTCTGGTTTTTTTTGTATATTTTTTTTAAAAAAAAAATTTGCGGAAAACCCTAACCACCACCACCACCACCTAGGCTTTGCCGGAATTCACCATTAGCAGCGCCGAATTTCACCACAAACACCAAGGCTTGACCGGAATTCACCAAAAGCGCCGCCGTTGATAGGTACTCCAACTGTAGCTTAGAATTTGTGTACATAATTGGACATGTATTTAGTTTTAAATTATGTTGTATAGTTGCACAAATTAAAATATATACATTAATATTATTATTAATATATATATGAAAATATTTTCGTATTTAAATCGTCAATTCAAAATTAACACAAATTAGGTGCAGGATATAGGTGAGCAAAATCGAATTAAATAATTTAATTTTTGCTTATAAAACAGGATTGTTCCGACGGAAAATGTTGTCGGAACAGATTTACTTCCGACGGCTTTATTCGTCGGAACATATACGCTTCCGACGGAATATTCCGTCAAACGGGTATGCGTTCCGACGAATAAATCCGTCGGAAGATATTCTGTTCCGACAATATTTTCCGTCGGAAGAAGTACTATTCCGTCGGATAGTAAGAAATTGCGAGGGAATTTTCCGTCGGAAGCGTATATGTTCCAATTTCCGACGGAATTAACGTCGTCGGAATATTGCGACAGACTCTCGATTTAAGTCAAAATCAGCTCTGACAGACATAATTCCGTCGGAAAGTTGTCTTCCAACGGAATTTTCCTCGGAAAATGTTGATTTTCCGACAAGGGGCGTTGCGACAGACTTGTTCCGACGAAATTCCGTCGGAAATGGCCTTTCCGACGGATTTTTTAATGTTTCCGACGGAATAATTCCGTCGGAATTGAGCTGTTTTCTTGTAGTGAATCAAAGCACACCGTTTTAAGTTAAAAAACTTAGGAGCACGCCATGCTAGAGGGATATGAATACGCCCATCATAAATTGATGTGATATGTTTCATTTGTTGCATAATTTAAGGCATAGTCTCAAATGCTTTAACTTCTTTCTAGTCTACACTTACTTTCTAGGCTCTACATTTGCCTTTTCGGCGACTAACTTGATCGTCAGAGGTCAATATTCTGGTGATTGAAACATTCATTATTTTGCAGGTACTCGTTGGACGTGAGTTGCGACATTACGTTGGTATTTCCCCGAGGATACAAAAAACTTCGAAACAAATTAAACACCTTACCCAATAATGCATCCCTCTTATAGCAATGCCCAACCCAACATAACTCTCAACCATATTGTGGGTATCTATGTGAATTTATACCCTAGTTAATTGAATAAAATTTTGGCAAGGAGGTTAGAAATCATCAATTATGAAACTTTTATTAGTAAGAGAAGAAGAGGGCAGAGTAATAACAAAAGAAAAATGAGATACTTGTAATATTTTAGGAGCAACCTAAACGTAAATTTCAAATCGAGTCAATTTTGAACACAATTTGGATATAAGTTAGATCATTCATATCGAATCATTACATCACATGTTACGAGTTCTTAAACCATTTTAGTCTAAACTTTTTAATAAACAAAATTATGATTTTTTTTTTCTTTTGAAGAAATTGTTATTTTTTTTTGTTTAGCTTTTCTTATTATAATTATTTCATTTGTTTTGTTGGTATTTTAATACTTTTCACCTATTTTTTCACCAAAGCAAAAATCACCTT